CTGTTTGTTCTATGTCTGTCTGTTCTCCGTCCTTATTCCGTTTGTTCTGTCTGTTTTCAGTGTGTTTGCTGTCTGAATGTTCTCTGTCTGTTCTCCGTCTCTCAGTGATTGTTGATCATGTTTGTGTTGGTTCACCTGCAGCTTTGTGTCTGTTGTGTCAGGTGATCCTGAACTTCCTCCTCACCTGTCCGTCACTTGAATAAATGTGAAGGTGAAGCGCTCATCATCAGCTTATCATACTAAACCACGGTCAGTGAACACACCACCTGTCCAGTACTGTACATTTAATGCTGTCACCTGAGCTCACAGAGACTGTACCACCACCGCAGCTTCAGGTGTCACTCACATCTTTCATGTGACCTGTTAGTTCACAGGTGAAGTTGTTGATGAACTCACCTGCTGTCAGTCTCTGGACGTTGGTCCTCGTCAGGAGGCGTCTCTGACCGAGTCGACTCTGCAGGTGACCTCGTCCTGCAGAGGAAACACCCACACAGGTACAGGTGTGATGACATCACAGGTTCAGTGTTTAAACCAAATCTGAAGTTTCACTCTCCCCCTCCTCCTCTCAGCTGCCACATCGTCGTCATCATCATCTGACAGTGCTGTTGAAGGAGGTGTGGCCTCCCTGTTTAATCTGAACCGGACCAGAACCACAACCAGAACCACCAGGTACTCACTCCTGTGGGTGGAGGTGAACCTTGCTCTCCCTCTGTATTTGTTTGTGAAGCTCCAGAAGCCTCGTAGTCTGTTGGCGGGGAGATGACGATTCACTCGCCACCAGCCGAGTCGCTCCCAGACGCTCCTCCTCCTCGTCAGACGCCACTTCGCCCTCTGGGAAACGCCAGGGGCCTAAAACACAGACACCAGTCCAGGAAGTGAAGGTACAACCAGACCAGGCCTCACAAACATGGACGCCTCATGTCATCACGTCAACTGAACACGGTGTTAAACTGTGATGATGTCATGTTGTACACCTGCACACTGGAGCCACAGCTGATATGAGGTGTTCAGGTGTTCCTCAGGTAAATCTCCACAGCTCCATATGAAGTGAAATAGTCTTCAGGTTGTTCAGTGTGTGTAGAAACTGTCTTGAGTGTTGACACGTGTTGATCAGCTGTGTGACGCATTCAACAGAGCATCACAGACTACAGTGATCATACAGGTGAGTCAACACCTGTCTGAGGTAGAGTTAACACAGGACTGATGATCAGACTGACTCAGTGACTTACAGTGTGTGTATATATTATATTTTATATGGATGATGATATTAATTGATGGATATTGTTTGTATTTCTGGTTTGTGCTAAATGTGACAGTGACTCCAAGTGCAGGTGCCGTCTCTACACCTGTCCTGCTGAGGTGTAGTTACCCTGACTCCTCTGAGTCCACCTTAGACGTCATGACTCAGCATCACGTTTACAGCCTGGTTTCTCGTCACTGCACCTGCATGAACGTCACCTGAGTGGGATCCAGTCCAGAGGCGACCCTCTGTGACTCACCTGCAGACGGAGCAGTGACGACGGCTCCTTCTTCACCAACAGGACCAGCGGCAGCCTAGCGGACACCATCCTCTGCTGTGGCAGCATGGCATCAAAGGTCACCACCCTGGACCTGGTCACCTGGTCCACCAGAACCTGAGAGAAGCTGAGACAGAAACAGAGAGATGAAGACAGTTTGTGTGATGATGTTAAACTGACATACAGAGTGTGATCCATACACTTCATACTAACAGATCCAAGACACAGAACAGGATGGAAAACTGAATGATCAAATCTTAAGATAAGATAAACCTTTATTGATCCCACACCGGGGAAATTCACTTGTCACTGCAGCATAGGAAAACGAGGTAGAAGAAAAAAACCAGTATAACAATAGAATAAAGAAGAAAAGTAACTAGTCAACTATAAATAAGGAATGTACATTATAAATACCTGCATTTGTAGATATTTACAAAGATATTTCTATAATGTGCAAACAGAGAAATAAGTGATAGCCTTCACATAAAAAAAGTATTGAATTTGCATTATATAGCAATATCTTATCTTAATATCTTCAGTTATGGATCTATCTCATTTAGTTTATGTTGCTGTTGATGGAGAGTGATGTGCGTGTCTCACCGCTCATGGAGGGAAACTGCTGAGGTGCTCTTCAGGATCAAAGGTTTTGAAAACTCCATCTGTTTTCTGATTCTCGGACTCATTGACCATAAAGACGCAAACTGAGCTGATGAGATCCAGCTGAGCCGAACCTGCTTCACCTGGGGACTGATTAACAGAGACAAACTCCCTCCTTCATCACAGAGACAAACATCCTGTTAAAACTCCATTCACCTCTGCCTGCTTCATGATTTCTGAAGACTCTTCACAAACTTGACTGACGTTTTCAACTCGTTATACACCAACTTTTAACGGAAATACGTCAGTTTCCTAAATCAATCCGTTGTACCGGGCGGCAGCGGGAGTGAAGTTAAAGTTAGATTTTAAGTTAAAAATCAGAGCTGCTTCTGGTTTAAACAACAGACGAACCTGAGAGAAGACCACGACGATTCACGGCTCCTAAACTTTAGTCTATGAAGTGTTTTTAATTTGCCGATAAGACAGGAAACGTTAAGGTTCACCAATTTTTAAAAAAGGATTCGCCGCCATTTTGTCTTCCTACAAAAGCGGCCGTTTTGACTTTTGAGCGAGCGTTAGCTTAAACATGTGGTCTGTTTCGTGAGCGGCAAGGTAACATTATATTATTTTATTAAAGTTAGCCGCGTTTATAGCTGTTACTGATTAAAATGTGTATAAATATGAGCAGCAGTGACTTTACCTGTGCTTCCGAGCGAACACACCTGCTGACGGTCTCAGTGTCACACGATGACGGCCGCAATGCTAATCGGCTAGCTTTAGCTGTTCTTTGTTATAAACGTGTGTTACCGTTTATTTCACTAAACCTGTTAGCTTTGCAGTGTTCCCGCCAAACCAAACTTAGCTTAGTGGCTTCACAAGGCTGTCGGAGCTACAAGTTTATGTTTCCCAAGCTAACTTTGTGAAAATGCACCAGGGTATGTTTGTTAGCATACGTTGACTAAACCACTCGCCCGCTGTCTTGTCAACACCTTCATTTAATTTAAGGCAAGAGACCCTGACCACCTGTCCGCCCACCTGTCCGCTCTCCTGTCGCCGTTTCTCCAGCTTCAACTACATGAACAGTTCAGACAGAAACAGATGAACAGAATTTAAAAAAAAAAAAAAAAAAAAGACTTAAAGTGTTTTTAAATTAAAGGTTAATTATCACAGACTGATCAGATAACAGCAGTTTAATTCGTTCCAGAATATTCAGTAATGATATTTGTTTTTGTTTCATCATTAATTGATTTATTTACAGGGTGAATTGGTTATTTTTAATCGATTAATCCATTAATTTTCTGCCGTTTATTCAGGTCATGTTTAATGATTAATTAATGTAAGTAAATTGAGTAGAATCACTGAGTGCATGTAAAGAAAGAAGAGTGAAAACCACTAGAGACATTGATGTTCTATAAGACCTAAGTTATAATAATACATCCATGATTTTACTGGTTTGACTGTGAGACGGGTTTCAAATAAATGCTGTTAAAGATGTTTTTAAAAATCTTAAATTTAACTAAATACACCTGCAAGAATATTGATTATAGATTATATTATTATTTCCTGACTAACTGGAAAAAAAGCACCACGCTGTATTCACCACGAGATGGCGCTAAAGTCTGTCTGGTGACCTGTCAATCACCCGGTAACTAGGAGACAAACACGCACGCGCGCGCGGAGTGGAGAGGTGTGATTGGCTCTCACACTTGAACAGAAGTCACGCGCACAAACAAACTTTTTTTAACAGAATGTCAAAATAAACAGCGGAAAATGTGTTTCCGGCCACATTCTTCAAAATAAAAGCTGAACTTGTAACTTGTGCAGAAAGTACACAACCTTAGTATGAGGCGGGTTCTGGTGGTAGAACATTCCCTCAGTACAAGGACAGTCGTGAGGGAGGGAGTCTATTTATTTCTATTTTGTGATACGTCAGACTTCTACTCCACTACGGTTCAGACGGAAGTAAAGTTTGATTAGTTATCTGACAGCTGCAGTTACCACAAAGTATACTCAACTAATTAATTACGAGGTTACTAGAGATTAATGAACCCAGTAAAGTGAGTCAACCCATCTTTACCAGCTGCAACATTAACGTGATGAACATGAACGCATCAAAGTAGAATATAATAATATATATTATTCTAAAATGGAACATTTTACTTTTTACTTTTAGTACCTTAAGTACTTTTTTGATGCTGATGCCGGTACTCATAACCTTTTTGAAAGCAGTACTTTTACTATAGGTCTCAGTATTTCCTGCATCACCAAAGTTTAATTTGACCCAAGGTGAAAACCCAAGGTTTTACCATCATTATACTGCACCTGTGAAATGTACATTAAACTCTTCTGCTATTATTATAGTAATAATTATTATTATTATTGTTAGACCATCACCTTAACACCACCATGTGTTTACATGCAGTTTAACTTTTAATTTCCTCCGTTAGTTCTACTTTTATATCAAAGTGTTTTGAGTTCAGTCTAAAACATCGTGTTCTTTTATAGATACGAAAATAGAGGAATAAAAGTAAAAGCTTGTTAAACCCAGTGTGTGTCTCAGCTGTAGATCAAATGTTTTATTATGAATAAACTCGGAGTAACGCTGAGACTGTAGAGCTCAACAGTGAACTTTGAACCGTAAGAACCTTCTACCACCTCTCACGGTCTTCGTGGCGTCAGTAAAGTCCTTGAGTCGAAGCGACAGTAACGTGACTGTGACTCGGACACGTCTCTGTCTCCCGCTGCTCTTATTTTATAAGTCTAGATATCGACTGACTTCCTGTTATGTCTGGCTGTCGGGTCGGGCATGACACAGCCCCCCCACCCCCCCTCAGTGCTGACTCTCACTGTGCAGACAGACACAGTCTGGATCAGACGGAGAACACGCAGACCCGCAGACCGACAGCCGGTCTCACCGTCACAGCAGCGGATCACAGCCGAGTGGAGAGATCCGAGTCCCGGTGAGTGGAGCTGCCAGAGCCCGCGGAGGGTTTAACCTGTCCGGAGGTTTTTATATGTGACAACTGTTGATGCAGCAGAGATGGTCTGTACCTGTCTACCTGTACCTGTCTGTCTGTCTGTCTGTCCCTGTCTGTCTGTCTGTCTGTACCTGTCTGTCTGTCTGTCTGTCTGTCTGTCTGTACCTGTCTGTCTGTACCTGTCTACCTGTACCTGTCTGTCTGTATCTGTCTGTTTCTCTGTCTGTCTGTCTGTCTGTGTACCTGTATTGACTGATCATCAGCTGCAGTGAGATTTATGATAAATTAATAAATCAATGAACAGGAAATAATCAGTGATTGATGTGGTGAAGTCTGATTGGTTCACAGACTAATTAAACACTGATTACTGATCAATGAGAGGATCTGTCAGGAGAGGCGAACTCTATAAACCAGGACGTGATCTTAAATGTGTGTGTGTGTGTGTGTGTGTGTGTGTCTGTGTGTGTGTGTGTGTGTGTGTGTGTGTCAGACAGAGATCAGATGAGTGATCAGAGACATGATGTAATGTAGTGAAAGAGCTTCAGATCTGTTCATCAATAACTGGTTCATTCAAAACAGTCTTTATTATGTCTGTGTAGCCACACCCTCTATAGCTAGTCAGTCAGTCAGTCAGTCAGTCAGTCAGTCAGTCAGTCAGTCAGTCAGTCAGTCAGTTAGAATCAAAAGGATCTGAATCAAGGTTGTTTGCTAAAAATCATTTCAGCCGTTCAATCAATCAAAACACCCGAATATCAAACCAGTCCAGTATCTATCAGGCTGATGACCTCTTCTTTACACTTTTATTTATTTTATTTAATTAATGAATCATCTGGTCTATAAACTGTGAAGGATGCATGTTGACTTTTGGTGCAAAACCCAAAAATATTCAATTTAAAGTCACAGAAGAAGAAACTATTTAAAAGTTGTTAAACTGAAACTGAAACAAAGAATTTATCTGAATGGCTGCCTGTTAATTTTCTTTCAATTATCTAATGGGCTCATAAATAATATTTTCATTTACGCCCAGATGACCATGTCGGTGCTCAGCCCCGCCCCCAGCAGCAGCGACGCCTGCCTCAGCATCGTCCACAGCCTCATGTGCCACCGGCAGGGCGGAGAGAACGAGGGCTTCGCCAAGCGCGCCATCGAGAGCCTGGTGAAGAAGCTGAAGGAGAAGAAGGACGAGCTGGACTCGCTCATCACCGCCGTCACCACCAACGGCGTCCACCCCAGCAAGTGTGTGACCATCCAGAGGACGCTGGACGGACGGCTGCAGGTAGGAGCACTCACAGGAAGACGACAGTCGGGCTACTGATGTGAGGTTTGGTATGGTCACATGACAGGACTCACTGTAAGAGGAGCTGAGGGGAATTTATCACAGCTTCAGTTCAGACTGGAAGAAGACGTCAGCTGGAGTGAAGTGAGTTTGAGGAGTGGAAAAAGTTTTGTTTATGTTAAGGTGAAGCTGAAAGGAGCTGAAGTGTCAGGTGAAGCTGAGTTAAAGCAGCTGATGATCAGCTGTCAGTTTAGTTTGATTCAAACAGACCAGGAGCTCGCAGCAGCAGTGATGACATCATAAAAAACAGACGACATGTAAAAGTAAAAACACTGGTTTCCTACGTGGTCCCAAGATGTTTAAAGACAAAACACATGAACATAAAACATTCACACTGATTCATCTGGACACAGTTTAAATGTTTGTCTGTTTGTGCTGCTGCGTTTTACTTCCTCGACCTGTTGAGTCACATGACGATTTGCTTCTTTCATGTGTTGATATGTCGATGCGTCCTGATGGTTCTCCGTCAGGTCTGGTGCTCAGTGGTGTTCTGTCATGTATCTGCTGCCTGTGGTTCAGATAATACAGAGCAGCAGACTGGGTGTGTCTCAGACCGTCACTCAGTAATTATCAGACCAGAGGATGTAAACATGGATCACACTTCAGTCTGCTCTCAGCTGACTCGACCCACGTTCACACAGTCTCTACAGACCTCCGCTCAGATTTACATCCACCCGCCGGAACCACATCAAGAACCCCAGGAACCTTTTTAAGGACTGACCGAGCTCATCTGAGGCCACCAGCACCGGATCAACAGCCACTGCAGTCTCCACAGAAACTCCTGAACACTCTGAACCAAAGACGTGATTCCCCAGGAACCTCTGAAATGTTCTCAAGAATCACTCAGAACCCTGAATCCCTCTCAACAACGTACTGGACCCCTAGGAACCCCTTCTCTGGAACCACAGAAATCACCCCAAACAATTTTGGAAATGGCCTGAGGAACCACTAAGACCTCCTCTAGTATCCCTAGAACCTTTACAAGATCCTCTGAAGCATTCTGAAGAACCCTTAAAACCCCAACGAACTAAAACCAACTGGATCATCTGTTATCCGTTAAAATCTCCCCAGAACACCCTGGAACCTCCCGAAGAACATCTGCAGTCCTTAAGAACCTCTAGAACCCCCTGAACTCAAAACAAAAATCTGTGCAGCCCATAAAGACTCTCATTGGGAACCAGACAAATCCTGAAACATCCTCCAGAACCCTCAGAACCTTTAAAAGATCTTCTGGATTCTTAATAATCCATTAAACCTATTAATAACTCATCAGATCTTCCTCAATCAGTAACACCTGAGCCCTTTCAGGAACTCGTTGATACCACGAGAACGACCTTAAGTAACCCTGAAAACTCCACATGAGCCCTGTGAACCTGATCAAAGAACCCAGAGACTCTATGAGACGTTCTAAACCACCAACCTGATGTGGTTTACACTGCACCAGGTGGATCCTCACTCTGACGAGAGAGCAGAGAGAATAAATTAGTCTTTAAGAACCTGAGAACCTCGTTGAGAACTGGAACGTCTTCAGAGGAACCTGAGAGGTCTTTAACGGATCTTTAGAACCTCCTGCAGAACCTCGGCTGGTTCCACATCCAAACAGAGAAACTCTGATGTAACAGTGTCAGACAGCGTGTGTGTGTGTGTGTGTGTGTGTGTGTGTGTGTGTGTGTGTGTGTGTGTGTGTGTGTTGTCCTCACAACTTGGCTGTGTGAGGGATCAGACTTGGTGTTAGGGTTCAGGTTAAAACCAGGTTCAGGTCATGGTAAAGAGGGACTGTATTATATCACTGAGTGTCCTCACAAAGACAGAAGTACAAGTGTATGTGTGTGTGTGTTTGTGTGTGTGTGTGTGTGTGTGTGTGTGTGTGTGTGTGTGTGTGTGTGTGTGTGTGTTTCTCTCTGCCTGGATGAGGAGGAGGAGGAGGAGGAGGAAGGGCAGGCTGGCTTGTTTTGTCTGAAACACAGGAAAGGGGCTGGGTTAAGAGTTAAGCCAGACTGTGTGTGTGTGTGTGTGTGTGTGTGTGTGTGTGTGGGTGTGTGTGTGTGTGTGTGTGGAATGTGTACACGTCTCAGTTTTGTCGTTGGATCACAAACCACACAGTCTCTACACTGTAAAAAATAGCTCCTTCAGTCTGTTCCTGAGTTTTGAAAATCAGATCTTTATTTAAAACGAAAGAATCAGACGGTGACAGATGGTTCTGCTTCAAGAACCTGGACCTGTTTAGAACCATGGTTCTGGTTCTGTTGGTTTATTAACAGTCTGGGTCAGCTGATGTTAAAGATAAAATCCTGTAGTGTGTGATTCTGTCTGACTCTCATCTTAAAGATTTTTTAAACATGTTTAGAGCTGAAACTAACGATTATTTTTATTATCAATTAATCTGACGGTTATTTTCCCAGTTAAATGTTTGATCATGAAATAAAATAGTGAATAAAGTCCAGATGACGTCAGAGCTTTAGTCCGGTGAACAGGTTAGAAAACACGAGTGATTAGTTTACATGAGTCAAATGAGTAAAGACTAGAGAGTAAAGAGTAAAGCAAATCCTCAGAATCAATAACTAATCGATTAGTAAACTAATGCTCTCAGCTTTAATCATGTATGATATTTGTGACTGACCTCAGTATGTCAGTATGTGTGTCGTCAGGTGTGTTGTCAGGTGTGTCGTCAGATCCTCTGCAGTCAGTTTTCTTTCAAGATACATTTTTCTGGTTTTAAGAAAGAAATGTAGCTGATTGAGAGATGGATGTTTTCTTCTGTGTGTGTGTGTGTGTGTGTGTGTGTGTGTGTGTGTGTGTGTGTGTGTGTGTGTGTGTGTGTGTGTGTCTGTGAGTGAATGTTTTGTCTGCAGAGTCTTATCCCTGCCCTTCACCTGTGCACACACAGAACACAGAGCTCTGATTGGCTGCTTCAGTGTCTGCACTGTAAAAATAAAATCACCTGTTTATGACTCAGATCAACTTTCTTCATGAATCAAGTCAAATCTTCTTCTACAGTTTTTCTAGTTTCTTCTTCTCTGATTCTGATTTGACCTCACTGGGTGTTACTGTCTGAGATCCATTTACATAGAGAACTTCAGGGACCCAGACCACGAGTTCAGCTCAGTCTGGATCAGTCCAGTTCAGTCTGGTTCTGTCTGGGTCGTCTGTCTTCACTGAGATGAACTGTTCGTCATCTGGATTAGTCTCCTCATGTTACTTGAGCTGCAGTGATGAAGAAGAGTAAAAGCATCATCACTGTCAGATCAAGTCGTCACCAGATCACTGAGTCAACATGAGTCCTGATACTGGGACTGAACGTCTGGGGACACGTCCTGAACTGTACAAGAGCAACAAGTGGATCAGTCAAATCAAATATCTAATCAACCCGATAATCAATAATCACTCATTTACTGTTTAACAATCTTTACAGAATATGACTCCCCGCCCCCCTGTTTCCTCACACCCTCGACTCAGTCTGCTGCTCAGAAAACAACCAGGATCATTTCACAGTGTGTTGAAGTAACACACACACACACACACACACACACACACACACATACACACAGGTCAGACATGATGTCATGGTCGTGGTTTGGCCTGATGGGTTAACTCTGCATCACCTTGTACACACACACAGAGGCAGACAGACTCACACATACACACACACACACACACAGTGTTTCCGTGGTAACCTCTACTCGCCGTGACTCAGTTTGTTCTCACAGAGTTTATTTAAATTTCCATGAAGGATGTTTCCTCTCTGACTGTCTGCTGCTCTTCCTGTCTGTCTGACTGACTGTCTGTCTGCCTGTCTGTCTGTCTCCCACCTGTCTGTCTGTTTCTCACCTGTCTTTCTGCCCACAGGTAGCAGGTAGGAAAGGTTTCCCTCATGTGATCTATGCCCGTCTGTGGCGTTGGCCTGACCTCCATAAGAACGAGCTGAAGCACGTCAAGTTCTGTCAGTTTGCCTTCGACCTGAAGTACGACAGCGTGTGTGTGAATCCCTACCACTACGAGAGGGTGGCATCCCCGCCCACAGGTAAACACTCTCTACACCCACATTCATATTCATCAGTCGCCCTGAGGAAACACCTGGTGCACCTGACAACAGACTGACCAGCACATTACTGCAGCATCACACGGGCAACACAAGATGGCGTCAGTGTTCATGGTCTCACATAACCAAGCTTCATGTAACGTACTGTACATAAAGTTACGTAAAGTTACGTAAAGTTACATGAAGTTACATGAAGTTACATTAAGTTACACAAAGTAAGATAGTTATGTAAAGTAACATAACGTTATGTAAAATGATGTAAAGTAACATAACATTACACAAAGTTGCATAAAGTATAGTAAAGTTGCGTAGTTTCGCGAAGTTACATAAAGTTATGTAGTCACGTAAAGTACCATAAAGGTACATAAAATTGAAAAAAATTTACATAAAGGTACATAGTAACCTAAAGTAATATAAACTTACATAATTACGTTAAGTTACGTTATGTTGCGTAAAGTAATGTAAAGTTATGTAGTTACGTAGTCACATAACATTGTGTAAAGTAACACAGTTACATACAGTTATGTAAAGCTGCGTAAAGTAACATCATGTAGCTGCACATGTGACATGAGTCTACGACATAACGTATAAACACACCTGTTGATTGACAGCTCTTGTCTTCCACAGGTCCTCAGTCTCTCATAAAGGAGGAGTTCATTCAGGACTGTCTGCAGATCGACCTGCCCCCCCATCCCGACCCATACAACCAGCCCCACCCCGTCAGCTTATATCCCAGCATGCCTCTGTCTCCTCCAGGTCACTGTCTCGCATGTTTTTTAGTTAATTAAAGTGTTGTAAAGATGGCCTCTGACCCTGACTCTGTCCGCAGGCAGCAGCTCCATGACGCCTGCAGCTCTGTCCGCCAGCGGAGGGGGAGGGGTCTGTGGCAGGAGTGGAGGTGGTGTCGGTGGGGGTGTCAGCAGCGAGGGCCCAGGTCTCCTTCAGATCGCCCCGCCTCAGAACCATGGGGCTCAGGCCTCGCCGCCTCACCCGAACCCCCCCCACACCCCTCAGCCTCCCCACCCTCCCACTCCCACCTCATCACATCAGCAGAACCCCGAGTACAGCAGCCCCCCCAAAACTGGTTTGTACCTGTACTGAGATGAACTGTGGAAGAACTGGGAGGGGTTCAATTTGTGTCAAATATTGTGATGGTGACCTCACTACCCTTGTGTGTGTCTCTGCAGCCACCTGGTCAGGCAACAGCCCCGCCCCCTACAGCCCTGCAGGACCTCAACAGAGTGGGCGGAGCCACCAGCAGCCTCCATTACATCATCATCACCACGCCCCCAATACTCACTTCTGTACGACCTCGTGTGAAATGAAAGTAGTGTAGTTCTGTGCGGTGGTTCATCACACTGAGTCTGACTGTTTGTTCCTGCAGGGTCACAGCATCACAGCACCGCTCCGTATCCACAGCCAGTGTCCAACCACCCAGGTAAAACACCTGTCCAAGAATCCCCCCACTTAACAAAACTTAACAAAAATGCCCTTACTTTCTAAAATTTTCAAAATAAATGTCTCCACTTTCTAAAACTTTGTAAAAATGTCCTTTTACCTGCCTCTCTATGTCTCTGGTCTCACTCTGTCCCCGGTCTCTCAGGTCCAGAGTTCTGGTGCTCAATCTCGTACTTTGAGTTGGATGTTCAGGTCGGGGAGATGTTTAAGGTCCAGTCCAGCTGTCCTCTGGTGACGGTGGACGGATATGTGGATCCTTCAGGAGGAGATCGCTTCTGTCTGGGACAGCTGAGCAATGTCCACCGTACTGCTGCCAGCCACCGTGCCAGGTGACCAGTCTGACCAGTCTGACCAGTAAGAGTACTGTGGCAGCAGGAGGCGGTATGTTGTAATGTCATTATAGTTTTATTATTTGAAATTGTTCCTGCAGGCTCCACATCGGTCGGGGGGTTCAGCTAGAATGTCGGGGGGAGGGGGACGTCTGGATGCGTTGCCTTAGTGACCACTCGGTGTTCGTTCAGAGTTTCTACCTGGACCGAGAGGCCGGCCGAGCACCTGGAGACGGAGTCCATAAGATCTACCCCGGAGCTTATATCAAGGTGAGTGTGTTGATACGCAGACAATTCTCTGCTGTTCGTCTCTGTCCATCACGGACATGAAGCGCTGTCTGAATCTCAGGTTGTCTCTCACCTGTCTTTCTCTCACCTGTCTGTGTCTCCAGGTGTTTGACCTGCGGCAGTGTCACAGACAGATGCAGCAGCAGGCAGCAGCAGCTCAGGCAGCTGTAGCGACTCAGGCGGCTGCAGTTGCCGGTGCGATTCCTGGACCAAACAGTGTGGGAGGGATCGCCCCTGCTGTCAGTGAGTACCACCTGTCTCTCTCTCTCTCTCCCTGGGTACCTGTCTGTCTGCTGTGAGTCAGTATGGAGGTTACTGCGTGTCACAGGTGTGTGTTCTCACTGTGTGTCACAGGTGTGTGTTCAGCGGCAGGTCTGGGAGTGGACGATCTTCGCAGGTTGTGTATTGTGCGTCTGAGCTTCGTTAAAGGTTGGGGGTGTGATTACCCACGACAGAGCATCAAAGACACCCCCTGCTGGCTGGAGGTTCACCTGCACCGAGCGCTGCAGCTGCTCGACCAGGTGCTGCACACACTGCCGCCACGAGAACACACACTCTGACAGACTGCAGCAGGCGTGTGTGTGTGTTTTCTCTGTCGGTTGCAGTGTGTTTGAGTCAAAAGAGGATTCGTCCACAGCTGTGATGTCATCTGAATGATCTAAGCTGTCAGAGTTGATAAGCCCCACCCACCCAGTCCTCCTACAGACAGGTGTAAACAAACACAACGCGCTCATTGGTCAATCAGACAGGTACAGACCTCCAAGCTTCAGACAATCAGCCAATCACGGCATCTCATTGCTCTCAATCAAATGAGTTTCCACGGATACCAGCATCCATTAAAGGGTCAGTTCACACAAAATCAGGAAGGAGAAAATTGTACATATGGATGAACAGGGACGATAGAACGATCAATCCTGAGCTGTCCTCAGTCACATGACTCAACATGTGAGAGCAGAACCAGATCTAAGCCACAGTCCTGATCTAGCCTGACTCCGACCCCTGTTTCCTGCAAACCTTTTGTCGTCACTTAACTGCCACAGATGATTTTCTTTTTATTTGTTCAGGTTTGCAGATTTCTCTTGGTCCCACAGTCTAACATTAACAGTGACGGGGACTGAACTCAGACACATGAAACCAAAGCTTTGTTGTACGATTTTATTATTTCATCAGATTTACCATCCAGTTGTGGAGGTTGTAAAGTAATACCACATCAGTACATCAAAAATAAATCAATATTAAAAATGCTGTTCTCTGACAGGCTATAGATTATAGTGCTGACACGTGCAGTGAATCTTAAGACATATACAATAGACCTGAGAGTTTTTCTTATCACACATCTTAACATCTTGACATCACTGTTTGAGTCTATTCACAATATAATTTAACAGGAGGGAGAAAATCTATTGTTTGTAGTTTGACTGAACTGACTCTTTCACCTGTTGCTCAGCAGCAGCCGTCTCCACACAGTGATGTGGGACTGCTCCTTTAACATCTCGCTGACAGTTTATTTATTTTCATTTTATTGATTATCCACCAAAGATTGATTTCCTGCTCTTAGTGACATCATATCCTGTTTACTTTGTGATTCAGCTTCACTCTGATCTGTCAGATTATTTATTCTGTCGTCTGGTTTTTTTCTCTTTCATCTTTTTATGGTGTTACATTTTAAAGGCTTTTATACTGAAAAGGTCTATAACTCTATAACATCTGCTGTTTATTCAAAATAAACTTTTATGATAAAACAATCACTGCTTCTTTATTTCATACATGACTGTTCTTGTTCTTTGTTCTTCACATTCAGACATTACACTTTAAGGATGTTTCTGTCAGGACCATTTTATTGTCAGAATGTTTACCCTAATGTTTATTCTCTTTCAGTCTTGGTAACTTTACATTTATTAATATGATAGTTAGCTAAGATCAATATAAGACTGATAGTTTGCTTTTTAATTTTTTCTTAGGAACTTAAAACAGAACGTGTTCTACAATCACCTGTTAATTAATTTAACAATAATAAACTCTAGGCTGTTGTTCTTTCTTTATGAATGAAAGACCGAGCGAACTTGAAGGTATCAGTAAGACATGGCGCCAATAAGGACAAAGAGTGAGCGTCTGTAAAGTTTAAATGTTTCATGTTCGCCTTGTTATTGGTCTAAGTAAAGAAACGCCTTTGCAATTCTGGCCAATCGTAGAGAAGAGTCTTGCATAATGTGCTCAAGGAGGATGGGTTTGATGAATGGCTGGTCCTTGGACCAATAGGAGTCCAGAATCGGGAAATACATGAATATTCATTGTTAAAGGGGCGTGGTCTCTTGGTGGAGGTCGGGCGCAGGCGAACATGGAGGTTTAGTTATCGCCTGGTATCCGCTGGAGAAGGAGGGCGCTTCGCCGAACCGTGTTTTGTTTTCAGTTTTCCTTTGGTATACTTAGTTTTTTTGGACTCCGCTCGGCTTCAACATGGAGATGAAGAAGAGGATCAGTCTGGAGCTGAGGAACAAGAACCCCGCGGAGGTGTGTAACTACAGCAGCGCGGAATTTAATTTATTTAATTCCAGGAGAAATGATGAAGGATGCGGAGTCAAACCGACATGACGATGCTGAAAACGTCGACTTTTCTCCGCGGAGTCTCCGCCGTTCAGCTCCGACATTTTGACCCAGAAAACAACTTCACTAACCCTAACCGCTCCAACATGGAGGAAACTCCCGCGGTCGGTCCTGGAGCAGCCCGCCGCGTGCAACCCCTCTCTCTCGCGCTCTCAGTTCTCGCCCGCTCGTGAGGACTCCCCGGAGCCTCGCGCGAGCCTCCTGCCGTTAGCACACGGGCTAACGAGCTAACCTGGCGAGTGCCCAGCCCTCATAATGGAGCCACACGGCAGGGAATAGGTGGCCGGGGGTCGGTGCTGATACTCGGCGGTAAAGAAAGAGCACAGCCGCGCATGTTTGTTTGATGCGGGTTCAGTTTTAAACGGTCACGGTTCAGCGCGCGGCCGAGCAGGCTACCATTTTAACCTTCAGTGTTAAATAGTTGGTTATCCACTATGCTTGTTATCTGATGGCGCGTCAGGCCAGACTCCATTCTGAAACCGTGGATTTATAAGTTTACTTGCTTATGGACTAAAACGCGTTTCAGTCTCAACGCGATTGACGTCGTTTAACAATTGTTCAGGTATCACAGGTCAGTCCGGTTCACATTCAACACAATAACATTGCTTCGTTCAGGTTAGACTGTAAAGTTTTAAGGCTGGTTCACTGTGCCGTTCCCGCCCACTCTGCTCTGTTTTGGTGGTGAGGATACAAGCACAGTACAACGGCTCCAAAGTCCACGTTACGTTACGTCGGTCGGTGTGTGGCAGATTTACCTGGAGGAGAGGGCATGTAACGATTGAGAAAACGCCGGAGAGTCAAGCGGTTTTTCTGAAGGGACTGGCGTAACGTTTTATCCAGAATTGACGTTTTCACGGAACCAGTTTGATTAATAACGCATTATTTATCAAGAGCATTTCCCTCCATTATTAAACACGGCGCTGTAATCGGGACGACCGCTGGGGTCGTAACGACAGATGTTTATCTGTCGGCGTTTTGTTCCGTTAATTGACACGCACACCAACGTACGTGTGCGCGCGCGAGCGACACCACACACGGCAGTTGATCAAAGTGTTTGTTGGAGGAGAAGCATCACTCCACATGTTCGTTCTTCCGGTTCAGTGCTGATCCTAAACCTTGATCTACTTGTTTTCATTATTTATTAATTTGCAGATTATTGTCTTATTAGTTGATTAATTATTTTGTAGGAAATGTTCACAATGAGTAGAAAGAAGAAGTCTGTCTTGTTTTGTGTATGTTCACTTCACTGCTGCTTAAAAATGACAAACTATTATTAGAATATCAAAGTAGTTGCTGGTTAATTTTCCATTGATGGAATAATCGTAGCAGCTGAATAAACCTCACAGATATGAACAGTTTTAAACAGTGGAGTAGTAGTAGACTCATCCATCCATTCATTCATTCATTCAGACTGGTCCAATGAGAGCAGCTTCACAACATTTAGACAAACATTCAGACTTCTAAAGTGCAGATAAGAGATGAGGATAAAATGGTGACAGTTTAACACATTCAGACCAAATACAACCGTGACATTATGAACCACAGAATAGAACAGTAGTAGAACAACGTCGAGAATAATGTCATCGTATTCTAATTTAAACTGAGAGTTTGTTGAGCAGCAGCTTCATCTTCAAGAGTGAAACCAGCTTCAGATTCCTCAGTCTCATGTTGTTGGTGTGGTGCAGACAGATCAGTGCTGTACTCACAGTGTGGATGCACATGTTACAGATAACAGACATGTTTTAAACCAGCGTCAGTGAACACATCATCCATGGTCTGTTGTGGTCAGGTGGCGGAGCTGGTGGTGGATAACTGTCGCTCCAGTGATGGGGAGGTTGAAGGTCTGACGGACGAGTACTCAGGGCTGGAGATGCTCAGCATGGTGAACGTCGGCCTCACCTCGCTCTCCAAACTGCCCTCACTGCCCAAACTACGTAAGGTCAGTCCCTCACTGTGGTCTGGAGTCCAGCAGGGTCCACCAGCATCGGTCTGACCCTGGACTCAGTCATTTCTCTGTCTCAGTCTCTCCTCTGCTGTGATGGGGGTGTGGCTACCTGTCCACTAACAGCTGTGTGTTCACCTGTGTTTCAGCTGGAGGTGAGTGATAACACCATCTCAGGAGGTCTGGACACGTTGGCAGAGAAGTGTCCCAACCTGACCTACCTGAACCTGAGCGGGAACAAGATCAAAGAGCTGAGCAGCATCGAGGTTCTGGTAAGTCCCTGAGACTCAGCTGCTGAGGCGGGAACACGTCAGCTGGTCCTGGTCTCTGCTCGGCAGCTGTTTGTCTCTCATGAAACCTGAGCAGAACATTCACTTCATCATTTTCAGCGTCAGAGCAGCCGTTTTGTTTTCAGGTTGTCTGTCCGTCTCATTCTCGTGGACACGAGATCTCAGTAACAGCTTGCGTGAACTTCTTCTAATTTGGCACAAACATTCATTTGGACTCAAGGGTGAAGTGATCAGATTTTGGTGGTCGAAGGTCAAAGTCAGTGTGACCTCACAAAACACTTTTAGCCATAACTCACTCCACACAGCAAATGGTTACAATTTTAAATGACTGTAGATAAACAGGATGTGACCTGGAACCAGTCTGAGTGGCGGAGGGATACGACCACGAGGAGGTGGTTCTAGTTAATGTCTGACTGCTTGTCACTGATGGGTCCAGTTTATCTTTCAGTCTTTGTTTGTTTCCTGTTTAATGTTTGTTTTCAGCTGATGATCATTTTCATTATTGATCCGTTTCCTGATTATTTGTTATCTGATGTGAATAGTTGGGATTATAAAACGTCCAGTGTGACGTGCTTGAATTTCCGGTTCTGTCCGACACTCAGAGGTTCATTCATTATAACACAAGACCAGGTTCCTGGATCTGGACCTGGTCCCATCTGATCTGCTGCTGTTTGTTGAACAATAACTTCAATGATTATTTTCTAATCAGAATCATTTTCTTTGGTCTGATCCATGCCTGGACTCGTGGACTCACTCTGGAACCTGAGGGGTAACAGGTCCAGGTCTAGACCTCCTGGTTTATCAAAGACTGAATATCGTGCTGTGATGTCAGTGTGGACTGTTGAGCTGTACCTGGTCCTCAGACTGACTGGTCTGTCTTCTGGTCTATCCCTGCAGCAGAACCTGAAGAACCTGAAGAGTCTGGACCTGTACAGCTGTGAGGTGACCACGCTGGACGACTACAGAGAGAGCATCTTCGAGCTGCTGCCTCAGCTCACGTACCTGGACGGATACGACCAGGAGGACAACGAGGTCCCCGACTCCGAGGACGACAACGGTGAGGTCCCTCAGACCAGACCGGGAGGGGGAGGAGCTGTCGGCCCGTTAATCGTTCAGTGTTGTTAATTAAAGTCTTGAACCAGAGGAATTGTTGTGTTGACCCGAGACTGTGTTCCAGATGAGGATGATGAGGCCGGGCCACCTGGAGACGACGATGATGACGACGACGACGATGATGATGACGAGGAGGAGGACGAGGACGGCTCTGAAGGGGACGAGGTCGGCCTGTCGTACCTGATGAAGGAGGGGATCCAGGTGAGTCACCTGTCAGCTGGTTTTTCATCTGTAGACTGAGTGTGTGTGAGGGACATGACCAGCTGGAGGTGATGCAGCAGTAGAAAGAAGCTGTCCTGTGTGTGTGTGTGTGTGTGTGTGTGTGTGTGTGTGTGTGTGTGCGTGCGTGCGTGCGTGCGTGCGTGCGTGCGTGCGTGCGTGCGTGCGTGCGTGCGTGCGTGGTGTGTTCAGGGCCCAGCTGATGTTCAATAAAAGCCTTCATGTTGAATCAGCTGCTCCACTCTGACCAGCAGGAGGCGCCATTCACTCAGTTTAACAATCAGCCACCAGTGTGGTGTTGTTTACTGACGTGTTGTTGTTTCCTGATGTGTTGTTGTTTCCTGATGTGTTGTTGTTTCCTCAGGATGAAGAAGATGATGGAGACTATGTTGAAGAGGAGGAGGAGGATGAGGAGGAAGAGGAAGATGGAGGTAGGTGAAGATGATTGTGACGTTTTATTTTCCCTGAGGGGAAACTGATCTCTCACACACACGCACACACGCACGCAGGTTGTGAGGCGTTCAGGTGCAGTCTGTTGAACCTGATCTGTGTGTTTTTTGTCAGATGAGGATGGAGCTGGCGTTCGGGGGGAGAAGAGGAAGAGGGATGCAGAGGATGAAGGTGACAATGACGACGACGAATAGATAAACCACCTTCACACACTGTAACACCTGACCCCCCCCTCCCCCTTCCTCCTCTGGTGACCTCCGACCTCTGACCCCGCCGGGCGTCGCCCCTGGGCCGCAGACAGACAGAGACACAGCAGTGAGACCAGGTCCAGGATCAGTCCTCCACAACACCACTGATGATGTCATCACCAACCTGGTAACATGTGATCAATACTCAGCCGATATAAGCCGATGCTGAGAGCTGATTGGTCCAGGTGTAGCGGTGATGAGGCTGCAGGTGTGAGCTCCATGATGTCACCACATGATGAGAAACGAGTTTGAGACGTGTGTTTGATCTGTTCATTGATCCTCGATTGGATCTCATCATGTTTCTGATCTCGTATGTATTGATGTCTGGGATGAGGTCAGATACAAACCTGTGGATTTAACATCACTGAAGCTTCACCTGCAGCAGATCAGTGACAGGTAGTAACAGATGTTTCCTCTCCTGGGTTTGATGTTTCCAGATGTTTGTTTTCTGAACCTGAACTTCAGGTAGAAAAATTTCTACTTTTTTCCATTAAGTTTGTTCTGTGACTCTAAATACTACAATTCCCATGAGCCTCAGCAGCTGTTGCTAGGGGAGAGTCTGCAGCTCTCTGATTGGATCACTTTTACAGCTGTTCATATTTTTTTTGTTGGTTGTTTTTTTTTTACAAAAATGACTGTTACAGCATGAGCTCTTAGTTTTTGCCTTGCCCCCCTCACCTGTCACCTGTCGGTCTGCGGCCCTTTGCTCGGGGCGGGCCCGGCTCCTCCCGGTCTCTCCGGTCCTGTGGATCCTGGTCTGTGTGGGTCCTGACTGTGGTCTGTGTAAATAGAAGTGAACTGGTCTGTGTAGGTCTTCGTGGTGTCGTGTTGAGTTGAGACGTGAAGCTGACGGACGCTCGTCCTCAGTGGATTTTATTTTTTTATTCCTGTCTCTGATCGTGTTGCTGTGTCGTGTTTTTGAATAAAAACAACTGAATTCTGTTTCTTCTTCTTCTGTTGTTCATCAATTAACAGCAGCCATTTTGATTAGTTATTGATAATCAATCATTTGGTCTATAACTGTCACGTGTCCAAAACCCAGCGATTCAGTTACAGACAAAACATTTGATTCAGAATCAGTAACAGACACTTAATGATGATGTCATCGTGACATCATGATTTCAGGTGGGAAGATATCAGACACAGAAATGAATGGATTCAGAAACAGGAAGTAGAGAGACAGACAGTAGTTTCCTGTTTATCAATATAATAAAAAACAAAAATAAAAATCAGCTGATGTGAGAACTGAACAGGAAGTGGAACAGAAACTCAGGATCAGCTGATGTTTCTTACAGAGAAAATAATGAGGATCAGCTGATTTATTTTTAACAAAAACACTTCAATATAAATGTATTCGTTGTAGATTAATTTTCTTTCCATTTAAACCAAAGTAAATATAAATTATGTAAAATGACACAGTTTGATCAGTGTTTCCAGGTGCAGTTCCTGTGTGAACCACACGGTGGCGCTGCAGCTCAGCTGATGTTTGATTTTTCCTCTTTTCTTTCAAACCAAACTTGTCTTTTTTTTAAATTGTTGAATATGTGAAAGTTTTGTTTATTTGCAGTAATTTATTTAAATGTAGTTTGATCATATTTCAGAAGTTATTTATTAATTTGACTTTAAACATTTAGTTTTTTTTTAATCAAAAATGTTTTTTATCTTTTGGTTTTTATTTAGTTTGTGTGTAAACGTTTCCACATGTTACGAGATCATTTTTATTATTTTATTTTTATAATTTCTTTAACATTTTAGCAATAATCTCTGTTCTGACCTTTGACCCTGACGATGATGAAGCAGCTTCACTCTTAGGTCAACAGCTCAGAGATCATGTGACTCAGATATTTTATGCTTTAACGTCTGAGTTGAAGTGAATCTGGTAATTGATCAGTGTTTTGAGCTAATCAAACTGATTGATCACAGCTGAAGAGTTGCTGATGTGTTCTGTTCACATGTGATTCATCTCAGCTGTTAATCCAGGTCGTTTAATGATTAAGATTTAATTATTGTGATATTCAACTGAGAGCTGCCGACAAAAATCTGAAACTGAACCTGGTGAATCCCTCTGATCAGTGTGATCAGTGACCCATCAGTGTTATCAGTCTCAATGTCTCTGCTCAAACTCTGCTACAGTCAGCAACACATGTCGCTGATCTGTGCTGTAAATGTACTTTGTTTGTGTGTGTGTGTGTGTGTGTGTGTGTGTGTGTGTGTGTGTGTGTGTGAGAGAGTCAGCATGACACACACTCCTCACCAGCTGCTGTCATTAACACACATGTTCAGGAGGAGTGTGTGTGTGAGGTTTTCTTTTTTCCTTATATGGAAGTACAAGATTGTGAAGGGCGGGGCTTCACTCACACACTCACACAGACACACACACACACACACACACCCTACTGAGGACTAGAGTATTAAACCTCAGTACTGGGTAGTTCTGTAGAAACCCTCAGTGATCACTTTATTAGGAACACCTCACTAACACTGGTTGTTCACTCTGTTCCTAATACAGTGCTCAGTGTCGGTGAAGAGTAAATCACAGCTGCAGGATGAAGCCTCTCTTCTTCATGTAAATATTTTTGTTTTGATTTGACAAACAAATCAGCTGCAGACAAACAAACACAGCTCACTGACACAGGCGCTGAAGCTCCGCCCCCTCTACCTGTCCGTGTTGTGCTCTCTCTCTCTCTTCTCCTGTCCCTCTCTGCAGGTCTCTGGATCTGAGACGAGACCACCTACTGCCCCCTGATCCAGCTCATCACCTGCTGATACTGTTATTATTATTATTATTATCATTACTCCCACTCTCAGTAGTAGAATCTTTATTATTAGGGGTCCAAGTAGCAAAGAAAGTTTTTTTCTTTCTTTCTCTGCTAAAGTTGTTTGTACAGCAAAAACTCCTGGAGAAAAATTCATCAAAACTGTCAGATTGGTTGTAGATTCTACCCACTACTCAGGCACCAAAAATTAAACTAATTGTCTGATAGGTGGTGCTATAATAATGAAATATACGTTGGTGCAATTTTCTCATAACAACTTGAACTACTGCCAAAATTAATTAGTCATTTTGATCTCTGAAATCTTCTGCATCTTCTCTCTTCTGCTCTAAAAACACTTACTCTTTCAGCCATTTTCAAATGATTAAACGTAAACCCAAAACAAACTAGTGCAAGTTCATCTGATGCTCATGGAACTCTGTCTAAATCATCCACTGACAATGCTGATGACAAGTTATTTATCTTATTAATCTGTTTTGAAATAAACTTTTAAAGTAAAGTGTAGAGTAAACATGCAATTAAAGCATGTGGTATTTAAATGCTTGTGAGCTGCTTGGACCCAGATAACTGCTGCCAGCAGCTATAATTGTTATTGTTGTTGTTCTGTTGGAGGTTCTCTGTTTCCCGCCTCCTCAGGCTGCGTCCAGGTGGTTTCCGCAGAGACCTGTGTCCACAGTCCAACGCCTGGATTAGATGACGGCAGGTAAATCTCTCAGTGAACCAGAGACTGAAGCACAGTGACGACGTGTGTGCGTGTGCTTGTCTTAAAGTTTCATGTCTTTGGTAGGAACCAATGAGCTCAGAGCTGAGAGACACAGATGGGGGGACAGTGATGAGAGACGGACCGACTGAAAAGTAGCTGACTGCTCCTTTAACAGAGAAAGGTGAGTGTTTTGTCTGCAGGTGTGAACTGAAAGTGTTGTACACCTCAGCTAAGTGTCAGTTCAGGACTCCTGGTTGCCTAGTAACAACACACACACACACACACACACACACACACACACACACACACAGTGTCTAATTAATGCCTGGTTAATGAGACACTGATCCAGGTTCAGTTTGCAGGTTTTATTTTAGCACATGAACTGATCACCAGCTTCACATCACTACTGGACTACATCTCCCAGCATCCACTCTGGTTTAAGGCTACAGCAGCTGTTCAGTGCCACAGAGAAACAGGAAGACTGAGAATAAAACATTTAAAGAAGCAATCCACCATTTTAAGTCCGGACCGGATCGGTCGGCATCAACGAGACCAGAATCCACAGAACAGATCTGTGATCAGTGGAATAGAAACTCTTTATCTGTGATTTAAAGGAACAGTTCAACATGTAGAGAAAGACTCACATCTGGAGTCAGGGCATGGTTGGCTTATTTTAGCTTAGCCTAGCTTAGCTTAGCATAAAGACTGTACACAGGGGGAACAGTTGAAGAAGAACTCAATCGATCTTGTTTGTGGTTTTGGTCCAGTTCTACAGAGACAGCCGGTCTGGAGCAAGAACCAGACCTGACTCAGTCTGAGTCATTATCACTTTAGATTATTGGTAGAACCCTGCTGTCATGGCAACAACACTTTACTCTGATTGGCTGATTCATGAGCTTCAAGTGAGTTCATACACAGGAACATGATGTGTGAATACATTTAAGAGGTGGGGGGCGGGGTTAGGGGTCTTACACCTGTGCTCCCTCTGTGGTGGTTACAGGTGCTGGTCTGTGGTGGACTGGCTGCGCCTCCTGGACCTGGACATGGACCTGAGGCGGGTTCACACCTGACTGGGAGGAGTCACGCAATGTTGAACTGTTCCTTTAAGACCATGAAGAGTCACAGTCCAACACCTGGACCACAGGTAAATCTCTTCTTCTTCAAACTGCATCACAGCAACATCTGGAGAGGCTGAGAACATCTGTAGGACGTCTGTTGTACACTGTAAAAACATCAGTTACAAAAATACTGTGTGTGTGTGTGTGTGTGTGTCTCTCCTTCATCGACACAGAACAGGAACCAGTTCAGTACAAAAGTCTGGTTTAAAAAAATAAAAGTCTCCTCATTAAAGTCAGTGATTGTAACAAACATCAGTTCATCTCATCCACTCACAGTTTGATCCTCAGGTTTCACTGACTTCAGATCAGATCCTTCAGAACCAGATTCACCCAGAAACAGGAAACACAGCGAAACATGATCAGAGAACTGATGTAGGATCAATAATCAATGATGTTCATCCGTAAGAAGTGAAACCATGACGGTGACACTCGTTCATCAGGACCTGCTGTCACCTGTTCTCAGGTAGACTCGAGTCCAGACCTCAGTGTCTGACAAAACCTTCACACTCACAAAGAAGACCCGGACCCGGACCCAGGAGGACTGGTTCTGCAGGTTTGAGAAGGAAACAGCAGCTGTTTGAATTCATCAGCTCCAAAACCTCGTACCTGAACCAGGTCTGATCTCTGTGCTCAGACCAAAACCTGAATGAAGCCCAGCAGTTAATAGACCCGGCGAACCGGACTCTGCTGACATCACCAGCCTCTGTGCTGCTGGATGTTGTTGCTCAGCGACAGATTGTCACCTGCTGTAAACGAACTGTTGTGTGTGTTTGTATTTACAAACTGGATCTGAGCCTGAGTGGACCCGAGTAGCTGGACCCCCAACTGAACCAGACCTGGACCCAAACAAAACCCACAGACCAAAGGGGCTGGGATCAGAGGAGACCTGATGATGATGTCATCCACGGAGCTCAGATCACTGATGATGACATTGTCGTTTGTGGTTAAACAGAGTCTGAGAGAGACCTTCAAACCCCGCCTACTGTCACACCTCCAGACTGACAGATCCAGATCCAGATCCAGAATCTGAATCTGATCCAGAATCTGAATCTGATCCTGATCAGACAGAGTAAAGGAGGTTCACACGCTGTCAGTCGACCTGATGAGGGGTCTGATGGTCTCTGTGGATCCTGCTGATCACAAACCTGCACAACACCTTTACTCACCAGCTTTTTCCAGAGCGTTCAACCATATCTCACTGTCTTCTTCACTGAATCTTCCTCATGTGTCTTTAGGTAGAGTGCTGCTGTCAGATGCTAACAGGTGATGCTAACTGATGATGAGGAAGGCCTCCATGATCTTCCTCCAGATGGTTCTGGTTCTGGTCTGAGGTCCTGAAACTGAACCCCAGACCAGAAACCAGATGTCGAGGCACCAACCAGGTGAGGCACAAACAAAGCTGGAGTCAACTCATTAATAACAACTGAGCAGGAAGAAGAAGGCCATGAGATAGAGTCAAAAGATCTGGAAAAAGGTAGTAACTGAACTTAAAGGTTTGAATATTTAATCACATTTATTTATTCCCTAATACACACTGCACCCCCGCTCCTGACTCTTATCAGTTCAACTGATCACTTTTATGCCTTTTCAAAATAAGAGACCTGCCACAGTTTTATCCCAGGAATCATCAGCTGATTCAAGACGAACGTGACGTCGTGTACCGTCTCACACAGATCAGTCCTCCTTCATATGAACCTACATCAGTACCGTCAGGTGATCCTTCAGTCCAGCTGCATAAAACATCTGTACACTTCTCTACAGACACAACAACACAGAGATACTGTGAATGTTCCAGAAAAATAAAACGGATCCAGAGAAAAAGAACAGAAACAATCAAGTATTTAAAGATTTCATCCTCTGACTCTCCTTGGCACATTTTCATCCCTCTAATCAGAGACGTCAGAGTTTCTGAGAAGGAACCAAGTGTTTCCTTTGTGCAACTGAAAGAGACGCTACATGAGGGTCCTATAGGGGGCGGAGCTTCAGCTGAAGGTTCCTAGAGGGGCGTGGCTTTAGCTAAACTGGTCCTGGTCCTGGTTCCTCCTGAAAATCTAAACCTGCATTTTTCCAAATAATTTAAAAGTGGTTTGTCAAGTTCTCAGCAGCTTCATGTGAAGTCTGGGACCAGACCATGAACCAGGTCGTACCAGTGAGTCGGGACCTCCAGTCTACATCAGGCTCTTGTGGTCTGGGTTTAGTTTGGTGCTGTTGGAGGGGGTGAGGGAGGAGGAGGAGGAGTGCAGTTGTTGGTACAGCGCCCTTAGCTCCTTCACCTCCTCCAGCACCTCGCGGGCCTGACTCCAGGCCGCCGCCGCCTCCTTCAGGAGTCTCTCCACTTCACCTTGCGCCGCTTCAGCCGCCTCCTTCCGCTTCACCTTCCCCTTCTCCCCGTCAGCCTCCCGCTGCACCTCTGTCAGCAGCTGCTCTGTCTTCTCCAGCTTCTGGCTGATGAGCTCCTGCAGCTGGCTGATGGGGGTTGTGGCCCCGGGCGGTGTCGAGGCAGGAGAACGGGTCAGTGGCGCGTTCTTGTTCTTAGCAGCTTTAGTTTCTGAGTGTGACAAGATCTCGTCCATGGAGGCGCAGCGGTTTTTCTCCGCCGTCGTCAAACCTCTTCCTGGCTGAGGTGTTTGTCCAGGACCCGTTTTCTCCCACACCACCGCCACCTCACGAGGAAGGCTCTGGGATTTCCCAGAAGCCTCAGCGGCCCTGGTAGAAAGAGCACCATCAGTTTTGGACCTGGGACAGTCTGGACTGAGGTGGGACTTGTCCAGGTCGTCCCTAAAACCATTGCAGCTGTTGGCTCCCTGAGACAGAGCATCCTCCTCCTGGATCAGGTCCAGAGTCAGCATCCCGTCTGAGGAGGACGTCGAGGCCTGAACAGAGGAGGAGGAGGAGGAGGGGTCAGTGACATGACTAACAACACGTTCAGACATTTGTATGAAACATGAATTTATCCGTGCTTCAGTTCAGTTTATTTGGTTCTCATGAACAGCTGTTGACTCTCAACTGGCTCTGTTCTGGACTGGCTCTGTTCTGGACTGTTGTTATTCTGGCTGGCTCAATTATTGTCATGATCAGTTTATTATTTTCGTCTCATTTCAGTGGCTGGAGTCAGAGAATATTTTAATTGTTTCAGAATTTTTGATAATTAATGATAATTGATTATAAAACAGTTTAAGTAAATTATTTCTCTGTCAATCAACCTATCAATAAATTGATTAAACTAATGATCCCAGCTCTAGTTACCACTGGGCTCTTTAATTAGATGATTCGATATATGATCATTTTTATGCAGACGACACTATATAAATAAATCTGTATCATATGTCCACAGTTTGCTCGGTTGTCATGGAAACAACTCTCAACCAGGAGGACCAACGCTCCAGAAGAGAGTCAGTAAGTGGACCTTGAGTTGATGTTGTTTCTCTGGTTGAGCGTGAACCGGTGAGTGCTGAATCTACTGATGAAGACCATGTAATGTGGTTTTGCAAATATCTCAAATAAAATTTTGGACATTTTATGATGAAGGAGCTTCCCACCGAGGAAGAGGAAGAAGGAGGTGTTGGAGGAAGAGGAGGTGATGATAAAGAGGAGCATTATACTGACCACGGCCAGCAGATGGCCTCTGGTCGGCAGCCGGCGGTTGTGAGGAATCTTCACTCGATCTCGAGTCAGGTGAGACAGGTGAGAGTCTTCTACTGTCACCTGGAGCATCAGCACAAAGAAAACATGTTCACAACGTGACCTGTGAATGTTAAAGGGCCTGGGACTGACTGCTGAGTGACCTCCGACCTGACCCCTGATGACCTCTGACCTGATTCATCTGCAGTTCCTCTGACGTCCACCAGGTGCTGCTGGGATCAAACTCTGACTTCTTTCTACAGGTACAAAGTCAGTTCTGACAAATAATCTAAACTCATTTACTGTCTTTTCCCTGAGCTTTTAGCTGCATGACATGGTCTTCACCAGTTGTCATGGTGATTATGTCAGCTTGTTGTCAGGCTGTAGCTGCTGCTTCACCTACATATTAATACTGTTTGTTTGATGGTGCTGTCGACATGGAAAACACCACAACATCGATACGACATGAATGTAGCACAGGTTCATGAGAGGCTTCTTTCAGCCTGGAACACTGTGTGAGAGAGAGAGAAACATGATCGATCAGATTATTGATCGGAGTATTGACGGGTGGAAAAGGGGAAGGTTGTTGACTGAATGTTGTGTTAGCAGACGGCAGCCCGCACACACTGAAGTAAACACGACAACACCGCAGTAAGAGGAACTCACACGTTCTAAAAAACAGACATGTAGACAACTGCGACATAACCACGGGTGTTTCAAAACTACAGGAAGTTAGCTGTTGCAGTTTGTTAGCAGTGACAGACTAAAATAGTCTCCAACAAATCCTCTGTTTGTTCGATTAAGACAAACAGGAAGTCATAAAGGGTCGAGAGATGGACAAACACTTTGTGTTACATGAGATTTGTTGACAGTAGAAAACTGTAGAATAACACCTGATCCTTTAAACAGTCAGTCCTCAGACCTGCTGTAATAGACTAATGGATGCCACTTAGAGATGATGATGATGATGATGATGATGAAGATGAGTTTATGTACGTACATCATCCAGGATTCGGTTTTTGGCTCTGGTGATGGCAGCGTTCAGGACATTGATCCAGGACTCCTTCTCCTCCGGACTGACAGCCAGGAAGACCAGGTTAGGAACCTGCAACAAACACATACAGGTGAACCCTCAGCTACACCGCTGTTAGCTTATAGTTTAGCTTTAGCTTGTTGCTTTGTTTACACGTGTTAACTGCCAATAAGTAGTTTTTGTTTACGAGTTTGGTTATAACTTTCTGTCTTTTTGTTTCTTTGTGGTTATTAACAAGTATTTTTGCATGTTATCTAGATAGCTGTTAGCTTGTTTTAGCCTGTTGCTAACTTGTTTTTAGATTGTTTCTCTGTTATTCAGATGTTTAAGCTAATTTTTGATACCTTTTTTTACCTTGTTGTTTTACTGTTTTCATCTTTGAATCATACTTTCTATTGATTCTTAGTATTTAGCTTCTTTTGTTTTAGCTAGTTGTAGCTTATATTGTTTTTTTTGCTGTTGTTGCATGTGTTAGCTCGTGGTTAAGTTGTTATTTGATTGTTGTTAGCTTCTTTAAACATGCCAGCTCCTCGTTAGTTTGTTATAGCATGTTGTTAGATATTTGTAACACTCATTTATCTTGGTGTTAAGATTATTTGTTGTTAGCATCCAATAGTTTGTGTGGTAGTTGTTGACTGATGACACGTTTTTTCTAAAATAATTTCATATTTTTCTTCTCATTTATGACAAAAAAAAAAGGACAAAAAAACTCTTTATCACGTTTCAGGTTTTCACAGATGAACAGTGATTGGATAAAATTGCTGACATCACACATTAGAATACTGGATGACCTATCACAGCCCCCACCGACACTGCAGTTTCTGAAGCCTCAGTGGGAGACACATCACCAGATGGCCGAGAGAGAGTGTGTGCGTGTGTGTGTGTGTGTGTGTGTGTGTGTGTGTGTGTGTGTGTGTGTGTGTGTGTGTGTGTGTGTGGTGTGTGTGTTGGTGTGTGTGTGTGTGTGTGTGTGTGTGTGTGTGTGTGTGTGTGTGTCTTTGTGAGGACTAATCTGAGTTTTAGGTCGACCTTGAAAGGTTTGATTCAGGGTTAGGAAATGCATTATGTCATTGAAGGTCCTCATTAGGACAGAAAGACATTCTGTGTGTGTGTGTGTGTGTGTGTGTGTGTGTGTGTGTGTGTAAACTGCCACCCAGTCTGAAGGACACCCGATCCTCTCCCCCAGGGCATGCTGGGTATTTGAGGGATGGCCTGCAGATATCTATTGTATGTTAATGAAAATGTTTCATTCAGTTCAATGTTGGTCATGTTTTTGAGATAGACATGTGTACAGACAGACAGGTAGACAGACAGGTGTACCGTGTTGCCTGGCGAGCTGCAGCGCTGCAGTCTGAACTTGCTGTGGTTCTTCTTGCTGCGACTCTTGTTCTTGCGGATCTCCTCGCAGCGCTCGTAGTCCGATAGGTCCAGAACCTCGTCAGCCCGACCCAGCTCCTTCACCTGCACCACACACACAGGTAACACAGGTAAAGGGTCAGAGGTCAGCTCACCAGCAGGACAGGTGAGTCAGGTGTCCTGAGAGAGCGAGGAGGCGGAGCATCGTTGAGACATCTCCTGTGAATTTATGTTAATCTGACCTGAGCAGGAAAGCCCCGCCCACTTCCAGGTGAGTTCCTGTTCTTCTATGGATTCTGTCACTCAATGTGCCTTTCCGAAAATATCCATGTTCCTGAGCTTTCTGTCACTATCTAACACATTTCAACATTTAAACAATTCATTGTTTTCATTCAACAGCTCCAGCTCACTAAGACTCATGGGAGATGTAGTTAAAAATGCAACAATCAATGTTTTAATTCATTAAAGGGCAAGTTCAACATTTACATGAATCTTCTTCTTGTCAGATGAAGATGATGATGAAGATATTAGAGATGAAAAGTGATTAAAGAAGAAAAGTAGAACCAGCTCAAGGTTTTAGTTCTTCCTGCTCCTGGTTAGCTTAGCTTAGCATTAAGACTGGAAACATGGGGAAACCGCTAGCTTGTTTTTACACTTAAGATAAAACATGTTAATCAGTGACAGCCAGGCTAATGATTTCCCCCTGTCTCCAGTCTTTATGCTAAGCTAAGCTAAATGTATCCTGAGTGTTGAGACATGAGAACCTTCCTCCTCCTGCTGCAGGTTCTTTAAAGAAACAAACTAAATGTAAATCCAGTCAAATCCAGTAGAAGAACACTCGGACATGGAAACGTCCTTCAGTAGATTTAAATAGAAAAACAACATTCGGCTCATTTTCCTACTGATGCACGTTGATCCGAGTCTGGGACGGACATTCTGGTCCTGGGTCAGTGTGTACGGTGGCCCGGAGAGCTCAACTCACTGTGACTGAAGAACACAACATGCAAACAGACGAAACAATCGTGTCCCGGGTTCAAGGCGTCTGTGGATTTGTTTGTTGTTGTATTTGCAGCTCGTATCGTCAGAGATGTTTTCTGAATTTGTTTGTGTGTTTTTAGTCTCAGTGTTTTGAGCTGTCTGGGCCACCGTACTGTGTCCGTTCAAATACTGTGTGTAGATAGATACACACACACACACACACACACACACACACACACACACACACACACACACACGTAAACAGACACACAAACACACACACACGTAAACAGACAGACACACACACACACACACACACACACACACACACACACACACACACACACACACACACACAGTCTGTCCATTCAAGAAGAAGCTCAACTAAAAAGTTTTTAGTTTGGATTTAAAAGAACAGAGTTGGAGTGTGTGTGTGTGTGTGTGTGTGTGTGTTGTAGAAACAGGGGGTTTGGTTTCAACACATGTCATCTTCAGCTGTCTCTCTCTCTCTCTCTCTCTCTCTCTCTCAGGTTCTGGGCAGTCTCTGTGGACTTTCTGGATCGTGGTCTGGATTCTGGATTCTGGAGGTGTGTGACAGTGAGCGGTGGATCAGCTGGTTGTTCTGGTTCATGTTTCTAGGTCTGAGACACAGATAGGAAGACCAGCAGAGCTGACTGAGAACAGTCACACACACTGACCCAGATGATCCACCTGAAGATTCATCGACAGAAATCTGGAGTTTGCAGGTGAATGGCTCACACACACACACACACACACACACACACACACACACACACACACACACACACACACACAGCAGGTGTTGGTGTGTCTCCTGCAGCAGGTAAACCTCAGCTCATTAATCTCCATGGAAACACCATCCATTATTCACCAGCTTTAAACTGAGACTTCCTGGGAGAGAGGCCACGCCCACCACACAGTGAGGTCAGTCGCCGCCTCGGGCTGTTCCCTCCCCCTGCTGATGTCACTCTGCCTGCATCATCAGTCAGGCGATCAATAATCAATATTCAGTTCAGTCTCAGAGAAGCCTCTTACATAACGAGTCTGTGACCTCTGACCTTTGGACATCAGTCTAATCTGGATTTATCATGTGACTTTACCTGCACTGCTTATTATGGGCTGTAGAGACGTCTCCATGGTAACACACATGCAGACAGATGTATGTACATATCATCATCATGTGTGACACTGATGCTGCTAGAGGATTACTGAGGCTTAACATGGCACACACACACACACACACACACACACACACACACACACACACACACACACACATACTGGATTAGCAGCCTCAGCAGACGGAGGTTAAACTGTGTCTGGCTTCATGTTTCTGATTGGCTGGACCACCTGTCACTCATGTTACATCACCATGTGACACACACAACAGCTGACAGTAAGACAAGGGGATTTTAACCCTTTCACGTCGTGTTCTCATCAGGACCTGGATGGAAGGGGGAGGGGCCTCACTGACGGACTCTTCACGGTGCAGGAGCATCCGGACTGGCAGGTACAGAGAGTTTTTACCCACAAGCCACCTGGTTCCTGAACTACACACCCACAGTGATGAGACTGTCAACTGTTTTATTTATCATATGATTCTTTTATGTCAATACTTTTTATGTTGTTTACACATTTATATTTAAAATGACTATTTAAATACTGTTTTATTCACTTTCTCGTTCTTACTTTTTATTCAACATGTAACGTTGAATTTTCTCTGGGACCAAGAATTTAACAAACAACAAAAAACGAGCGTGACATCATCCGGACACGATGACAAACAAACTGTTGTCTGTGAACGCTCCACACAGATAAAACCCAGTGTTACCTGTGAGGTGATAAAGACGCAGTAGACACACCCGCAGTCCTTTAAGGTGTGTTCACTGACTGACTGAAAGTCTGTGGCTCATTATGGTTTTTATTGATAAAGGATTGTAAACTTTTGCAACTTCAAACAGTTCAGATCAATAAAATCTGTCTCCGTCTCTTCACCTGTCACAATCATACTTCATAGACAAACTCTTTAACACTGATGATGTCATTACCCAGGAAATGAGTCCGAAATTAACACTGATACAACACACACACATCTCCCTGTACTTGTGTCGACCCTCATTGACATAAAGCGCTCCCAGGCCCCAAACTCAGAACCAGAACCAGAACCAGAACCAGAACCAGAACCAGACCCTGCTTCTACCCGGAACCTTAAAACCAAATCTGAACTGTCAAACTGACGTGAGGTGGTGAGGACGGAGACAGTGTCCTCATGGTGAAGAAACGTCTCGGTTTAAAACTGAAGACAACACGAGCTGAAGAAACGAAACCTCGGCTTCGCCTTTAAAGAAACGAATGTTTGATCATGATGGACCAAAAAACTAGAGACAAAAGTGCCCTGAGACAATTCATCAACTAATCAGTTAATTAATGACACAATCAAAAATAAATAATAAACTAAAACTTCTGGTAAAGCCTGAAGAGGAAGAGACTTGAGAAACATCAAACTGTCGACTGTCAGGGGAAGTTTAATTCTGTCAGGAACAACAGACGTGGTCAAGGTGTGTGTGTGTGTGTGTGTGTGTGTGTGTGTGTGTGTGTGTGTGTGTGTGTGTGTGTGTGTGTGTGTGTGTGAGTGTGTGTGTGTGTGTGTGTGTGTGCATGCGTGCGTGTGTGAGTGTGAGTGTGTGAGTGTGTGTGTGTGTGTGTGTGTGTGTGTGTGTGTGTGTGTGTGGTTGTGTGTGTGTGTGGTTTCTCTGGTCTCACACAGAGTTTCTATTCCTGGTCGGCCAGGAAGTGAAGCTGGTGACGCTTCACACGAATCAAACCTTCGCAGAAACAGAAACCTGAGAGGACAAGGACTGAGACGAGTCCGTATTTGGAGTTGAGACAGTTTTCATAGATCTTCGATGGTCATGTGACGCTGAGGTCTGAGTGATGTCAGAGAGCAACTGAAGAAATGAAACAGATCACTTCTTGAAAAAATCTGGATGCTTCGTTTTCCTGCAGCTGAGACGCTCTGAGACGTTCTCTGATGTTCTGTAGTTGATTAAGGTTCTAACAGGATGTTCTGTTTAAGGTTCTAGTAGGAAGTTCTGCATTTGATAAAGGCTCTATCAGCATGTTCTGTGTTTGATAAAGGTTCTATCAGCATGCTGAGTGTTTGATAAAGGTTCTTTCAGCTTGTTCTGTGTTTGATAAAGGTTCTTTCAGTATGCTCTGTGTTTGATAAAGGTTCTATCAGCACGCTGAGTGTTTGATAAAGGTTCTTTCAGCTTGTTCTGTGTTTGATAAAGGTTCTTTCAGTATGTTCTGTATTTGATAAAGGTTCTATCAGCATGTTCTGTGTTTGATAAAGGTTCTTTCAGTATGTTCTGTATTTGATAAAGGTTCTATCAGCATGTTCTGTGTTTGATAAAGGTTCTTTCAGTATGCTCTGTGTTTGATAAAGGTTCTATCAGCACGCTGAGTGTTTGATATAGGTTCTTTCAGCTTGTTCTATGTCTGATAAAGGTTCTTCCAGCATGTTCTGTTTGATAAGGGTTCTTTTAGCTTGTTCTGTGTATGGAAAAGGTTCTATTAGCTTGTTCTATGTTTGATAAAGGTTCTTTCAGCATGTTCTGTGTTTGATAAAGGTTCTTTTAGCTTGCTCTTTGTTTGATAAAGGTTCTATCAGCTTGTTCTGTATTTGATAAAGGTTCAATCAGCTTGTTTTGTAGTTGATAAAGGTTCTATCAGCATGCTCTGTCTATGATAAAGGTTCTGTGAGGACGTTCCGTCCTGTGTTACAGCAGTGAAACCGGAGCTCTCTGTGTGTCTGCAGCTCGGACTGAAACTCGACTCCTGCAGAACGTCGACTGTAGAAAATCGAGGAGAAACTTTCTGTTTCAAGTCAGAACCAAAGCAACTACAGAACATCGAGGAACCCGACAGACACGACAGAGAACTCACTAGAACTCTGACAGTAGGGCTGCACAATAGGCAAAAGAAATCATCTCACATGATGTGGAGCATCACGTGACCACTCGTTACCATGGCGATAATTAAAGCTCTTAACGAGGTGTCAGCAGTCAGTTATCTGCTGCTGATCATCTCCAACAATAAATCAATAATCAGTCAGCTGACAGAGTGGCAGGTGTGAGTCACTTTTAGGCCCCGCCCCTCTGACTTACCTCTTTCTCACAGACGAACAGCTGATCTCCTCTCAGAACCACAAACCGGTTCTTCCAGATCTCTCTGAAGATCCCTTTCCCGCAGAACTTTCTGATCCAGCCCACTTTATCTGGCTGGAGGTTCTGCGACGCCGAGTCCTGTGGACCCTGAACAGGAAAAAGGAAACAGGAAGTAGAGTAAGGACAGGTGAAAAATGTAACCCTTTATTGAAACAGTCTGTAACAGCCGGTGCTTTCAGCTGCTCAGACTCTTGAGCTTCTTCTTCTTCTGTCTTTTTAGTTGAAACGTTTTATCTTCACCAAATTCTTTAGTTTTTTTTACTGAAGAGAAAAGTTTGATGTCAAACAATAATAATAATAATAATAACAATAATGAATTTCCCTTATATATACAAATGAATAAATATACATTGAATAATAAAAAATACTAAATATAAATAATAAATAAATATAAATTCAATGAAAATAAAACAAATACAACATAAAACATAAACATAAACAAACACATTAAACATTAAAAATGATAACAACTCAAAAATAAATCTAATAAAATAAAGTCTGTAAAATATTTTAAGTACTTGAACTTTTAACATGTGATTTATTATCTGTAGATGTTTGTCATCAGTTCCCCCGGAGGATCAATAAAGTTTGATCTTCAAACTGTTCAATAATATTTTACTGTTGTTTCAAAGCATCAGCTGATTGAACTAAACTCACTTTTTAATGTGAAGGAATAAAAACCGATTTAGTTCTAAATATCTGAAACATTTGATGTGACGCTTGTTTTTACACATGAAGCAGATTCTGATCAACAAACTTAAATATTAGAATCACAAACCAGATCAGCTGATACAGTTTGAACCCAATTTTATTGACAAGATCATTAATGACAATGTGAGAGTGAAGACGGCTCCTGCTGAGGAGATATTCCTCTATCCTGATCAAGTTGAGACGTGTGTTTGTTTTGTGTGTTGTTGTGTGTGTGTTGTTGTTGTGAGTCAGAGAGAAGAATAAAGCTCCTCACTCTCATTCACACTCAAACATTTGAGTCTTTTGTCATGGAGATTCATCACATTCCTGCAGCCTCAGCGTCTCCAGCCACCTGACCAACAACACGCTACACAACTACACAACCCTATACACAACTACACATCTACACAACTACACAACTCTGTACACGACTACACAGCCCTATACACAACTACACAACTCTGTACACAACTACACAACTACACAACTACACAACTCTGTACACAACTACACATCTGAGCTTGTCCTGAGTGTGAAACAGTGACGACAGAAAACTGTCAGTTTTTCTGATTTCAATCCTCATCAGTTTTATGAGTTTTTCTCATTTACATTCAGAGGTAAAAAAAAAAAATCTGTTTTTTTTCTGTAGAAAAATCAGTTTACTACACAACTACACAACTCTGTACACAACTACACATCTGAGCTTGTCCTGAGTGTGAAACAGTGACGACAGAAAACTGTCAGTTTTTCTGATTTCAATCCTCATCAGTTTTATGAGTTTTTCTCATTTACATTCAGAGGTAAAAAAAAAAAATCTGTTTTTTTTCTGTAGAAAAATCAGTTTAATGTCAAAACAGAAACTAAAAACACAAACCATCAAATACACAATAAACTGTGTCTGGCCTTCAGACAGGAGTCAAACAATACAACTGCAACTCCTACTCATTATTATTATTATTAATATTATTGTTGTTATTATTATTATTATCATCATCATTAGTAGTAGTAGTATTAATACTCAGCTCAAACTAAATTAGACTGTGACATGTTTTAAATTGAACGTTGTTAAGTCATTTATTTGTTTTATTATTTGTGATATAATCATATTTATTTACTGAGTGGTAACAGCGTCACAACCAGGTCACAACAGTACATTGAGCTAAACTTCAAACTTCAAGTATTATTTTGTATATTTTATCATATATTAAATCTTTAGATTTAAGTTTAGCTTTTTAATAAAATAATACAATTAGATTCAATTTTTTTTAAAGTGATTTCCTAAATGTTTTTATTTCATTTGAAATTCCTTCTGTTCCTGTGCTGCTGTTAAATGTTCAGACAAACAACATGAAACCGTGTTAACTCTTAAAAGGCTCTAATCCCTCTGTTCTCAGAGGTTTTCATCTGTTGTCTGATCGTGTTTGTGTTTGTTGTGTGAGTCCGTTTAACGGCTGTAACGTGAGTTCAGCTGCTCTCCCGGTAACGGAGTGAAACCGGATCTGCTCTGTTTTCTCTTCGGCTCTCAGGATGATTAGATCCTCGGTCAGATTCCCGCCATCTTCTCATCAATCATCTTTGTCCATAATATTTAATCTTTTTCTCACTTTAAACCGTTTAAATCATCAATAACGCTCTTATTCTGAAAAGCGGAAGTGGGGTCTTTAGCCAACTCGCTGCCGCTGTTGCCTTCAAAATAAAGGCGTAGAAGTAATCATAGAGGCTTTTGTTCCTCGAGCTTCGGTTTAACGTTAGAAAACCGACCGTCACGAGCCGCCGGTGGCCCGTGTCGGTTCCGTTAACACTCACCCGTTTCCCCGAGTTGTTCTTCTTCATGCTGGCGGCTGTCAGGCTGCCGGCGGCGGACCGGTGTCGGTACTTCACCCACTTTCACGGTAACTCCGTTATTTCTCCTGAGAGCGCGGCACAGCGGCGGGAGAAGAAGATAAAAGCGGGTTAAAGCGGTAAAAGTCCGGCGGGAGACCGGAGCCTCCGCCGTTCTTCAGCTGTTGATCCTCGGTCTGACTCCGCTCGTCGCCCCGCTGCTCTGTGCTGCTGTCGCCGGGCTCCGCTGCGCACTGACCGGCCAGGAGCCGCTGAGGGAGTCGGTGTCCGGTTACTCCTCCTCCCCCTCCTCCTCCTCCTCCTCCAGACTCCCCGCTGGCTCAGCGGCTCCTCGGTAGCCCCACAGCGTCCCCCACCGGCAGAAACCGACTGCAGCACACAGGGATGATGATGATGATGATGATGATGATGATGATGATGATGATGAATGATGCAGACTGTGTCCCTCATCAGCTGTCTGCTCAGAGTCCTGACCTCAGACCACCCTACGGGGGGGGGGGGGGGGTCAGGAACACACGGCAAAAGCACCAGCAATTAATTAAATGGTTATTGATTAACTAAAACGATTTTAGTTATTAACCGCTGAAGTCTGTTTAAAGTCAAACTGGTTCCATCTTATTATGATCATCATGTTCTTCACTGCTGATCAGTCAAAACCAGGTCCAGAGTCTGGGTCTGGGTCTGGGTCTCAGGGAGAACAAAGTCTTTTCTCTGAGAATTTAAACTAGAACATCTTGAGAGTCCTCTACGAGACCAGAACCTCAGGGTGGAGGATCAAGAGCCTGTTATATGATGGTACAGTATGAAGTGGACCTGCGGGGTTTGGACCCCCGGGCTGTTGTCCACTCCAACCAGTTGGTGATCCAGCTTTGCCATCCAACATGAGCCAGGCCTCATGACCAACATCAGGGCTGGACCAGGACCATCAGGTCTACGGGTCTGTTATGGTTCTGGAACAGACTGGTGTTGGTTTACAGCAGCAGGACCAGGGGGGTGGGGTGAGGTGGTGGGGTGTTGTCCTCGGTCTTCGAGTGGAGGATGAGGTGGATCAGTCTGGAGCTGGTCTGTGATCCTCAGCTCAGATCTGGATCAGTGTAATCCGGTTCAGTGTGGTCTGGATGTTGGCAGATGTTTTGAGGCTGAACTCTGATCTGGAGTCAGTTTCACTCAAACTGGGTCAGACTGAGAGAGAGAGGCTGATCTGGAGATTATCTACTGACACAACAACAACACAACATCTACTGACACGCTTCACTAAAGACACACAGCACGCTGTTTCCTGGACAGAACCACATGATCTGGTTCTGGTTCTGGTTCTGGTTCTGGACAGTGATCAGTTTCTAAACGTCTTTGAGGAGCTGAACATGTGAACGTCTCAGTGTAAATTAATGAACTGAAGTTTAAATGAAGCAGTTTGTCATAGAAATTCAGCTGGAGGTCAATAATCAATAATCATGAACTAATCAATAATAAACTAAAGAAATTAAATAAGTCTCTGTTGATTCTTTCCTGGAAACTTTGAGGAAACAAACCTGTAAATTAGATTCTAACATGAGCCGCTCCCTTTAGATCCAAGTGAATATTTATTGATCATTAATTTATTATGGGGAATTTATTCTTCACATCTTTATGTTGAATTGTGTGTTCACCTTGAGACAGATTTAACATCTGGGATTACCTGTTGGTCAAACACCTGTTTTACCTGCACATCATCATCCTCATCTTGTAATCTGATTTATAATCTGGTTATTAATTCCTCAATCAGTTCCCTTCATGTTTCCTCTCTGTGTTTTGATCCGTCTCGTCCTCGCAGTAAATGTGGCGTGGTGTTTTTCCTCAGGCCTGTGACACAGTGTCTGAGGAGGAACAAGGACTCATGAAACAGAAACATCTGTGGGCTCTCACAGAGTCAGGTCACATGACGCTCACCTTCGTTACCTTGATACAGTGACTCTGCTGCCACCTGCTGACTCATCAGCTCTATTTTCTTCATTAGTAACAGATGTCTGACACCTCACGACGTGGAGTCTAGTTAGCTGAGAGAGAGGAACAGTGAAAAACAGACACTTTTTAATCTATAAACAATTTAAAGGATTAATCAAATATCAGTGTTCTGTTGATTGATTAATCAGATAATTGTTTCAGCTCTATAAAGACTGAAGCTCCTGACATATTCCTACAGGGAGTGACAGCTGAGGTCACATCATTCATTCAGATGAAGGAGCTGTGTGGATGAAAACACGTTCACATCCTGCTGCTGTTCAGTCAGACTCGTCGACCTCACTACGGTCGACAGATGTAAGAATTATAAATATTTTATTGTAGGTGCACGAAAAGGTGAATGAAAATATGATCTGACATGAGAAAGATCTTCAACAATGTAAAATCATTCACAGTGTTTCCTGGTTGATTTTATTTAGTTTGTGGGACCAGGGGGGTCTGTGTGTGTGTGTGTGTGTGTGTGCGTGCGTGCGTGCGTGCGTGCGTGCGTGTGTGTGTGTGCGTGTGTGTGTGTGTAACAGCTGCAGAGAAATCTCCACGACGACTCTGCTGACTGTACAACAGCTGAAACACACACACACCTGTCTGCTGTGTGTACATAATATCACGAGCTAACAGCAGTTAGCCACCATGCTAACCACCTGTCAACAGAACCAGTGCAACCTCTGACATCTGACGGCCCATGTAACCTGTTGGTCTCTACGGTAACCGCTATGATCAGACTTTAAATTCCAACACACACACACACACACACACACACACACACACATACAGACTAGTGTTTGTGGTTTGTGGGGACCAGGTGTTTGTTTGATCACATGTGAAGACTCTTCTCATTGGTCGAACCAGACTGAACTAAACTAAACTTCAATTAAACCTGCAGTCTGACTGTTTTTAAGTGACTTGTGGGGACATTTCCAGTCTTCGATACTTGTGGGGACCACCACCCTCACACATCTTGATTTATAAAACAAACTGAGATACACTTCTGATGTCTGTCTTACTTTATATAGAATTAATCTAACTCTGGTTTGAGTCAATCACTTTTATTTAACTCACATTATTTAACAATCTCATCACAAGATCAACTTATTTCGTTTTTCTAAATCTAAAATCAAGAGAAAGATAAAAGGAAATGATAAAACAGGAAGGAAACACGTTGGTGTTTGAATTTTATTTTGAGAAAGCTGTATCTTCAAAATAAAAGAACATTCATTCCGACCTGCACACAGGTCAAAGGTCACAGTAAAACACTCTCCAGTCAGACACCATGTTCTCAGTCCAGTCACTCGATGACTCTATTTTCAATAACATCACTATGAATTTCTATTTTCTTTAAATAACAATAAATTTACCTTCACAGCTGTTTAATAAAGTTTTAGTTCCATGTTTTTATGGAAAATAAATTGACAGAAAAAACAAATTCTTCAAACAATAACACACAACTCTGACACACTCACTAATAATGATTTACTAATGCAAAGAAATAAAGCTGTATTGATTATTAATATTAATATTAGTGGTATTGCTCAGATCCTGAACTCTGTTGCAGGCTGCCTCTGATTGGCTCTCGTCGTTGTCAATCACAGTGAACATTTTACTGATGCTTGTTGTCGTCTCTTCTTCTGTCCGATCTGATGGGGGTGCTATCATCTGAAGATCCTTCCCTTCCTCTTTTTCTACTGCGCGCAGACATCGGGGTCAGAGGTCAGAGGTCAGCATGTGTCCTTTAATCCAACCAATCGGGAGCTCTCCTCCCACAGCTTCCTCGCCATCACATCATCCTGTCCCTCTGGCGCTACTTCCTTCTCTGCACAGTCACTGAAGACAAACACAAATAAACCCGTCTCTGTGACTTATGAGGACATCACATTGATGAATGAGTGAGTTATTTACACAAACAAATACACAAACATCCCTGCAGGTGTGCTTTTGTATTTCCAGTCTCCTCCCCCTAATGCCTACCTGAAGTATCGTCCAGACCGTTCCTCCAGACCCGGCGTCACGGCGCAGTAAACCGTGGTCTGGGAGCCCTGAGTGGGTGTTTTCATGAGCAGCAGGGAGGGGAGGCTCAGCAGCGCCCCCAGCAGGGGGAACCAGCCCTGAACATGACGACCCAGCTCGGTCCGGATCACACCCGGATGGAGACAGAACGACGACACTCCAGAACCTGAAGGACAAGGATGATCTGAGGTCAGTGTCAACTCACTGCAATGTATGTAAAAGTTCAATGTTTGAACAGTTATAATGGGAGAACCTGCTGAATTACTGTGAATTACTGTGAATTAATTCCTTTAGTGCAAAAATAGTCAAATTTTAAGTTATTCTATCTGATTGTGATGAGCAATGTTTCTGGTGTTTAGTGTTTGCGGGGACCTCTGAGTCGTCGGGCGAGTTCTCTGGAGAACAGGACGTTGGCCAGTTTGCTCTGTCGGTAGCTCTCCAGAGAACTGTACGTCCTCCTGCTGAAGAACAGGTCGTCGAGGTCAATACGACCTGAAGAAACAACGACAAATAACAACTGTAAAAACATTATTACAGATATTATAAACAAACATCAGAGGTCAGAGGTCGTACCCCCCCGGTGGGCGATGGACGACACATTGACCACTCGGCTGGGGGCGGAGCTTTTCAGCTTTGGCAGCAGCAGATTGGTCAGCAGGAAGTGACCCAGATGATTGACAGCAAGTTGAGTCTCAAAGCCGTCTTCTGTCAACCATTTTGGACACATCATCACGCCTACAGACAGGTGGAGACACAAAGACAGGTAAACAGCCAGGTGAACATACAGACAGGTGTAGAGACGGACAGGTGGACTCACCTGCATTGTTGATGAGAATGTCCAGTCTGTCTTCACTGTCCAGGAAGTCTTTAGCGAACTGTCTGACGGAGTAAACCGAAGCGAGGTCCAGGTGTCTGATCACCACGTTACCGTTTCCTGTTGTCCGTCGGATCTCCTCCGCCGCCCGCTCTGCCCGGGTCAGATCCCTGCACGCCATCACCACCCGGGCCCCTGGTCAACAAAAGAAACACACCTGGTCACCACACAGAACGACAAATCAAACACACCAGGTCACCTAGCAGATTGTTCCAGGGGTGCGATGGGTGCGTTTGATTCGACACACACAGTCAGTAGTAATCCCTGTAATCAGCTCAGATGGTTTCAGCCTCTGTGAGCGTTACAGTGACCTCTGACCTCTGTGTATGTGTGTGTGTGTGTGTGTGTGTGTGTTGAATGAGTCACATTAACAAAGCATTAGAAACAGAATCCAGTCTGTGACACTGTAAAAACAATCAACTGTGTTGAATGTGTCAAATGAAACTGTTGAAAGGTGAAAACTTAAACATGGAGGTGAAAAGAAAAACATCAACTAATAACTAGAAGCACTCAGAGGGTGCAGACCTCCACTCAGGTTCAAAGGTCAAACAACACACGCCAGATTGCAAAGAGAAAAACTAATTCTGAGTTAATGATCTGGATCTGCCCCTAAATGTAATAGGTTCTGCTCTGGCCCCTCCCCCATCCCTCCACCGAGTTTGGAGAGGGTTCAGGACTGTTTGAGTAATCCTGCACACACACACACACACACACACACACACACACACACACACACACACACACACACACACACACACACACACACACACACACATTCTCTGACCTCTGCGTGCCAGATCTCTGCTCGTCTCTTTGCCAATGCCGGTGTTCGCTCCAGTGATCAGAACCGTCTTTCCGTCCAGACGAACCGAACAACGACAAACTCCACCTGCAATCCACTTCCTCAACACCGCCACACCTGTGTACACACACACACACACACACACACACACACACACACACACACAACACAGGTGTTACCATAGCAACAACAGCAGGACATATTGTATGTAGTGAGTCTGGTTCTGTTGGGGATGTTCACGTCTACGTTGATGATGCTGTTAATTATCTCAAAGACTCACGTCCAGTCAAATTAACTTTTATTAAACCCTCAGATGTTTGACGTGGGAGTCAGTTTAAACTAATCTTTAACTAGAACACATGATCAGTAGAGAACAGACTTCCACAAGGACCAGTGTCAAACAACAAACACCAGACTTCAGAGGAAAAACCTCAAATTCATAGTAAACGATCTGGATCTGACCCAAACGGGTTCTTCTCTGGTTCACCACCCATCCCATTGGTTCAAATCAGAACCAACAGGTACCAGTGATTACATAACTTGTTTCAGACTAGTGGTGGAGGTGGAGTTTGATGTGTCTATTTCACAACATGCAGAACATTATTCTTTTAATTACCATCTGAGTTTCTGACACCGAACAAACATAGATTTTATAAACCTGTTTCACCTCCCAGTCAAAGATTTTAGAACAGCCCAGTTTTTCCAGCTGTTATTTAAATTTACATAATTCAGTGTCTCAGTGTTTTGTAGAATGATTGAATCTTGTTGTTGAACTAAACTGAATCTCAAGCTGCGTTTCAACAAAAAGTACCAGGAACTAAAAGTTCTAGGTACTTTTCTTCAGGAACTAAAAGGTTCCTGTGGCCCATTGTTGTCTGTGTTTCCACCACAGCCAAAAGTCCCAGGAAGATTATGTTAATCAGGACGATGACGTATGGAAAAGCAATGGATGTAAATGCATTACACCTCCAGTCCAGTAGGTGGCGGTAAGAAGAAGACAAAGGCTACAACAATGATGACGCCATAAAAGTGACGGACAGACCGGCATCATCGGTTGTGTGACACTACAGTCAGCCTGTTAACATAGAGGAGATTCAGCTTGTGCTGCTGTTGATTGTGCTTTATTGCATGAACCTTTGGAAAGTACTACCCCCTGACCAGGGACTTTTTGAGGGGTAGATCAATTACCCTGGAACTAAATTTAGACCCTGGTTCCTGCGGTCAAGAAGCGGATAGTTCCTCAAAAGGTTCCTGGTTCCTGGGGAAAGGTCCTGCGTTGGAAACACACCTTCTATGTCTGACTCCTGCAGCAGCTGAACTCTGTCCTCTCTACGACAGAAATCAGACACGTTCAGAAGTTCACACTCGTGTCACTTCCACCTTTGGTCCAGTTCATCCAGCTCCATATGGTTCAGGTCTGGAGACTGTGCTGGTCCTGACCGACCAGTCTGTCTGTCTCCCTCCACTCTGTCAGCAGGACACAGTCCTACTTCCTGCAGTACAGTGTTGTCATGGTGATAATCACAGGGTGTAGTGACACTGTTTGTCATCATCAGTTCACCAGTTTCTTCATCCTGATGATGTTTTCTGTTTTCTGTCACATCTACAGCCGAATTAAGATTATTATTTTTTTTACCACTTTGACCTGTTGAAGATTTTTCACTGAGCTGCTGAAACTTCAATAAAAACAGGAAACATGGGGCTGATGTAAAACTATAGACCGGCAGAATGTGAAGAATCAACCAGGTCCAACCGACCAATAAGAATCAAAGAGGCGGCGACGTCACTCATTCATTAAAGAGCCGAGTCAGCAGGAAGCAGGAATGTGGCGTTAATAACAATCCTCTGATAATCAGCTGCAGCAGCTTTAACTCTGTTTCATGTTTTCATGCTTCACACAGAGTTTGCAGATTTGGCTCATGTCTCATAATGATTACTGTTGAACTATATGTGTGTGTGTGCGTGTGTGTGTGCGCACATGTGACTTCAGTGTCATAAGCAGTGTGGGAACTTTGAGTTTCACTAGTTTTATCTGCACTCAGACCGTCGCAACAGCAGCTTCTTTTCTCTCCGTCTCAGTGTGAGGAGAACGTTAGAGGAATGTTTCAGGCTTGACTTCATCATGGAGCACCAACACAATCAGAACCAGGGATCCATGAGGTCCTGGGTTTACTCATATCAGTTGGTTTTACATCAATTGATAAATCAGATTTGTCAGGTTTGACGAGTCCTCTGTTCTCGTGCAGAGACTCTGTCAGAACCTGGTTTAAAGACCTGAACTGGTTCAGTTTTGATTATTTGTTGTAAAGTTTTCAGTGATGAACAAACAGTTTTCTTCAATAGTCGATTGATTGTTCAGTGAATTTAAAGAAAAGAAATGATGATAAATGATGCTCATCATTATATTCTGTATTATACTTTTAATTATTTTTGTAATCCGATTAATTTGCAATTTTACAGTTTGAAGCCCTTTGTAAATCTGTTTGGTGTTCACTGCTCTATAAATAAAGTTATTAATTATTATTAGAACTGTTTTAATCTAAAAGTAAAACAGAGGTGGATTGTAGATGAGCAGTTAGACAAAAGAGAATAAATCAATAATGTTTGACATTAATCTGAACATGAACAGACACTGCAGGAGGTTAAAGTATAAAAATAAAACTCTCCACAGACCGGAAGTTAATGAACATGAAGTAGAGGTGAGATCTTACAGATCAGAGTGAGTCCCAGCAGAGCTCCACATCTCAGCAGCAGGCCCCCCCGGCCCTCCTCCCCAGGCCCCGGCTCCATCTCTGGGTCCGACTCACTGCCGCTGCCCCCGGGCCACGGCAGCATCAGGAATCCTCCTGGACCCGCTGCTCTCATCCCTGCAGGTCCGAACAGACTGAGGAGAGACGGAGCCGAGCAGAGACGGAGGAGGCGGAGGTAGATTAACAGATTAGAGCAGATTATCCACCACAGAGCTGCTCTGGGATCAGTCAGAAACAGGAAGGATCACTGTCCACTGAAAACCAGGTATCTCCAACATGTTCTCCAGGACACAAGAAAGACTGTGTTTTAGATTGGTGACAAATCTATTGTATATATTTTTTTCTGAGGTTATAACTTCTGTAATAAGGTCGGATGAAAGGTCTGGTACTGACCCAGTCATTATAAAAACTAACAAGGTTTAGGTTTCAGCTAAAACTAAATCTGACACTAATAATTAAACGCCTTTTAACATGTAGTTAGTTTTAGATGTAAAATATATTATTAATATAAATAATATAATATGCAGTACAAATGGAAAAAAAGAGTAGTCTACAATACCCCCCCCCAAAAAAAAAAATTTCTTTTAAAATGAAAATAATTAATTAAATGAATAAAAATTAAGGAGTATAAGAGGGTTATCAAACTAGAAGTAAAAGTACATAAAAATTCTATTCAGTTACAGAACTTTGTTACTGTTTTTATTATTTTCCTATTAGCTGCAAGGTTAGTCGATTAATTGACCAGCTGATTGATTCAAATTAATGGACAACCATATCAATAATTGATTATTCATTTTAAATCTTTTTTTTTTTTTTTGAGTAAAATTCTGAATTCTCTGGTTTTAGTTTCTCTGAGGTGAATATTTTCAGTCTGCAGTCTGAATCTCTGGTTTTTGCTGCAACATATTAAAATCTAATAGTAGAAACGTGAATTAATAAAGTTCTGGTTTCACTCTGTTTTTTTCTTCACTTTAACGCGTTTTTCTTTGTTTTGTTTTTTTGTTCCAGCCTCCGCCTGTGACGTCAGATTCTGTAGCCCCGCCTCGCCACAAAACAACAAAAACAAAATGGCGTCCTGCCGTCAGACTGGTGCGTTGTTTTGGTGCATCTCGGTCTCCGTGTTGACTTGTTGTTGTGTTTGTTAGTTTGTCTGCGGTCGCTGTCGCCGTCAGTCCGGTTCACCGGAGTCACACCGGCCGCTACGGGACGTTTCACCGCCTCCAGCCTGAAAACCCGCAGCAAACCGCACTTCAGTTCCTCCAGAAAAATTTACACCGACCAATGAGAGGCAGCGCTGTAGAAAGGGGAAGTGACGTACAGCCGATGTGGGCCAATCCGCGGCTCTGACACGGAAAGCAGGCGGAAGTCCCGCCCCCGCCTCCCGTCGAACCGGAGCGCGCCTGGAGAAGAACAGTGAGAACCCGTCCGTGCTTCGCTGTCCCGCTCCGCCGCTCCAGCAGCAGGTAAGCTAGCCCCGGTCCGGCCCGGTCCGGTCCGGGTTAACACGCAGACGCGTCCCGAGTGCCTGGCAGGAAGGCTCAGGAAGCGCTCGGTGGTTGAAGCTAGCTGCTGGCGGAGGGGCGGTGCAGACTGGCAGTAAAACAAACGTACCGCGGTGCTCCGTGTGAGCGGCGGTGGGTTGAGCTGGGCTTAGTCCGGGTCCGTGTGTGCTGTGACCCGGGTCCAGCTGCTTCTGGTTTAACTGGTGTCTGTGAGTTTTCTTGACCCGCTCGGACTGGAAGTCTCCTCGCGCCGGGACAGAAACGCTTGACCCGGGTTTAAAGAAACAGAAAGCCCGAGGAGGAGCACCCCCTGCGGCTGCAGCCCGGAACTACACACCTGTCTGAGTCTGTTACACCTGTTTACTGCTGTTATCCAACTTTATACACAACAGCGAGGTTAACAAAACAACTGAGGAGAAACGAAGACGTCAGAGTTCATCCAGATATTTAATTCTAATTACGTTTGTGTTTGTTTTTCATGGCGATTCAGAAACGTGCTGTTTGTTTGTTTATTACAATATTACAAAGACGTTAAAATATTAAAAGTGTAACAGTTTAAAACACATGGTGACGTTCACACAGTGACAGGAGATGTGTTAAGGTGTTAATCATGGTTCAGACTGCATCATCACAACAAAGAGAATCTCCACATCAACATTCATGTGTTATAACAGCTGATGACTGGGAGTGAATCAGTCTGTCGGACTCTGATGTTTAAGTTTGAGGCTGGTCCTGGTCTCCTTCCTGGTCTCAGCTGTAAATGGAGATAAATACAGATAAATAATCCGTGATGTTGAATGAAAGAGGGCTAATTTAGTTTCCTTTAAAAAGCTGTGGACAGTAACGGCAGGTATAAGGCATGTGTGTTGCTGCTGCCACTTTACAAGTCAAGATTTCGGTGGAAATTTACATGAATGAATCACTTGTTATTTGTTTAATAATCTATCTATAGTCTATCCATTAGGTTGCATCAATTAAAAATTTTAATGATAATGAAACTACTAATTATAGTGGCGTTATGATAATTAAATATTCTATTCCAAATCATCCCGGCTGAACCAGCAGTAACCCTGGACCTGTGTCTATTGTTTCCATAGCAACATGGATACAGAGCTGTTTATGGAGTGTGAGGAGGAGGAGCTGGAGCCATGGCAACAGGTGGACGACAGCGTGGAGGAAGACGAGATGGACTTTGACAACTACAGCGAGCCAGGTGACACACACGCATGCGCGCGCACACACACACACACACACACACAACATCCTCTAAAATAATATCTGTCTCTCTCCAGTGGAAGATTCACCATCACCTCTTCCAGCTTTTGAGACTCCGCCCCCCAGGACTCCTCCATCCATCACACCTGCCCCAACAGGTGTGTGTGTGTGCGTGTGTGTGCGTGTGTGTGCGCGTGCGTGTGCGTGTGTGTGCGTGTGTGTGTGTGTGTGTGTGTGTCAGGTGTCCTGGACCATGATATTCAGGTACAGAGTCTCTACGCCTCTTCAGCTCAGGATCATTAATGTCTGTGTTCTTCTTCCTCAGCTTCACCTATTCACATCATCACCACCTCAGTGATGCTTCCTCCTCCTCCTCCTCCTCCCTCCATCACCTCCACCCCCTCCTCTGTCCCACGCCTCCACGCCACCCACTCCACACCTGTTGTCTCAGCCTCACTGATGACTCATGCCCAGCCCCTCATCCTGACACAGACGGCAGGTGGGACGTTTCTCCTCCCAGCAGCCCATGGGACAGGAAACACCCAACCCTTCCTCCTGACCACCCAGGTAAAGAAAACAAACACACCCTCAGTTAGTACCATCAGTAGTGGACAACACGACACGGCGAGTCTCTCTTCACTGTCTGTGATGTCACTGTGATGTCACATGTTTCCTGTACAGGGTTTCCCGATGCAGACGGTGATGAACCGCGGTACCCCCCTGCTCCTTAACCTGCAGCCGGGTCAGACGGTCCAGCCGTTGACCCTGATCCAGTGTAAGACACGCCCACTCCATCGGATAATAATCAGTAAGAAAATCTGATCTGATTATTGATCCCAGCTGATCATTGATGTTTCCTGTCCCCGCAGCCTCATCGTTGGGGCAGTTGGTACGGCCCAGTGTGGGTGTGTCCCCCGTGCTCCCTCAGGGCCAGGCTATCCAGACTAGACCAGGCCCAGACCCCTCGGGAGGCCCCGCCCAGCCTGGCTCCGCCTTCACCGCAATGCAGCTACCGGCCACGCTGACCATCCGCACCAGCACGCCGGGACCCGGTCAGTACACCAGACACACTGGGACAAGGGTCTGATCAGAATTGATAGCATTCATCAATTGATGTACTGATTCATTGATTGATCTTTTTTTTTTTCAGTTAACCTCCAGATGACCCAGGTGTGTGGGGCCAACTCCCTGAAGCTGGCAGGTTCTCCCGCCCTTCCCTCCGGCTCGGCTAATGGAGTCACCAGAGTCACGACGTTCAGCAGCAGCTTGAGTAGGTCAACTATCAATACTGGATCAATACTGAATCTATCATAATACTGGATCAATACTCATTCCATGGACTGTGGTTAGGAGCTGCTGGAAGAACTTTATTGTGAAGGAGCTACAGGAAGTGCTGAGTTTACCTGGTCCCCACCGTCACACTCAGCTGAGTCCATGCAGTGCGACCACATTAACCGTTTCTCTGTGTCACCCGGTCCCGCAGCTCCTGTTCCCGCCCCCTCTGTTGTCACAACGCCCAGCGTGACCGCAGGGCCACTTGCCGACCCCCCCAGGGTGGTGATGAGTGTGGAGGAGTTCTACTATGGGACGTTTGAAGGCGACCTGAGTCTGAGGAAGCCACACCCACTGGGAATCAAAACCACCACCTTTAACTGCCAGATCTGCTCACACCTGGCCGAGAACAACCTGAGGTGACACCCCTGAACATCTGAACACACCTAAGTATCTCAACGCACCTGAGCAAACCTGGACGGTCTGGGGGCAGGTGCAGTGGTGTCTGTGTTAACCTGTGTTTGTGTGTGTGCAGGTTGATGCAGCATATGCTCCAGCACTCAGAGCTGATTGGAGGAGGAGGTGGTGATGAGAGGAAGTGCTGCAGGTTCTGTTACAGACAGTTCTCGTCTCCGGCTCAGCTGCAGACCCACCAGGAGCAGGTGCATGGTTCCACCCTCTCCTCCAGTAAGAACCACACCTGGTCACACACCTGAAAAACAAACAACTGTGAATTTACCTGTCCTAATTTAGACCTGACATGGGACTTACCTGTCTTGACTTGATTTGGGTCTGGACTTGGTACCTGTTGGATTTGAGTTGAGGGGAAACACTGGACCTGATGTGGGACTTACCTGTGTCCCTCTGTCTCAGGTATGTGTCGTATATGTGAATGGGCGTTTGAGAACGAGCCGGCCTTCTTGAACCACATGAAGTCTAACCACAAACCAGGAGAGATGCCCTACATCTGCCAGGTAAGTCTGACCTCTGACCTCTGACCTGTGACCTCCCTCATGTTTGTCCTCAGTCCTCAGTGTTAACTCAGGTGTGATTTGCAGGTGTGTTCGTATCGCTCGTCCTTCTACTCAGACATCCTGCAGCACTTTGCCAGCTTCCACAGAGACTCTCGCTTCCTGCTGTGTGTCTTCTGTCTGAAGGTGACCAGAAACCCCACCAACTACCAGCAGCACCTGCTGAGACACCAGGTAACCACATCCACTCACCAGGTAACCTCATCCACACACAAGATCACCAGACCCACTCACCAGGTAACCACACCCAATCACCAGGTAACCACACCCACACACAAGATAACCACCCCCAATCACCAGGTAACCACACACAAGATACCCCCCCCCAATCACCAGGTAACCACACCTACACACAAGGTAACCACACCCACTCAACAGGTAACCACACCCACACCTGTGTGTTCCTGTGTGTGATGGACGTCGTCCTCTGTGTCTCAGATCAACCAGGCCTTCCACTGTAACAGGTGTCGTCTTCAGTTCGTCTTCCTCAAAGACAAGATGCAGCACAAACTGGAAAACCACCGCAGCTTCCGT